ACAACTGAGACAGCGAAATTCTAAGATAGAAGCAATCCATGGAGTCACGGTTCAAGGACTGCAGCTTAATTGCCTTGGCCGACACTTTGCGATACATCTTCTTGAACAAGCGCTGCCGTTCATCGTCAGCGAGAACGAGTAACTTGGCAATAACCGCTCGGTGAAGATTTCGGTAGGCCTTCATGATCTGGAGATCGATATCACTTCCTTGCAGAGAAACCGCCTTGGCGACCGTCCAGAGTGGCTCCCAGTTGCTCGTCAGAGCCGCCGTGGACTTCGGCATCTCGGCCAACTTCGCCATCAGAGACAGCATCCCCACAGTAACCTCAGGGGTGCTACCTTCCTGTACAATGACCTCCTGCAGTAGATCCAGCAAGATTGCTCTCTGGCCACGGGTGACAAGCGGGGCAGGGATTCTTTGCAGACTTTCAATGTATAGTCTGCGATTAGGAATGTCTTCCTTGACTCGCTCAGACAGCACTGCAATAAGATCAACCGCAATACACGGCGCATTGAGAAGGTATTCATGGCAGACGAGGCTTGCCCAAGCCTGAAGATACTTGGAATCGGGATTGACAGTTTCGAGAGTGGATGGCGATGGCTTATACTGTGAAGTTGCCAGGGACAAAACATGTGCAAAGAGAGAGCGTCTGGTTTCAGACTCCACCTGGGGCCATATATCAGGATTCCTGACCAAGCTCAAGAAATAGGCCAACGCAAGTGTGGTGGGCGACGTGAGCGTCTCAATACGCCCGTCCCAAGGGGCCTTGATGGACTTGGCGGCATCTTTGCCCGAGATGGACTTTATGAGGGTTGTGACCTCGTTCGTTAACAAGCGAAATTGTTCAGGGTTTGCAGTAGCTTTGATCGCGGTAAGAGCAAATTGGAACGCCTCAAAGCACTCCAGAGGCGCACAAAGCTTTTTCATACGGCCCTGGTGAACACGCTGTATCGACTCTGCAGCCGTAGCAACAAGCTTGATAATGGCAATACCCAGTTCGTTGTCGGTGGACTGTACGTTGTTCTCCAGAAGACTGCGGCCGAGCCGCCACAGCCGCCACCGCCAATGTAACTTCTGTTCGGAAGACAATGTCGATGTCACAGTCTGGATAATGGACGTCAAATCCTCGTTCCTGTCCTCGAAGCTAAGGTCACGACTTCTGAAGCCAGATTCCAGAATTACAATCTGGGCATAAGCGCCGGGAGAATTCTGGATTCTACCATCTTCTGCTTTAATCTCCAGTGCCGCCGCGCGCATCTGAGCGGCAGAGTGCGCGTAGGTCAGAGGATTCCGCATTAGCTCGCTGAATTCGTTGCACACGTCATCGTCTTCCCATACAATGAAGTGAGTCAACGCCTTTTCCTTATCCTTCGAGCGGGCTTCTTCGACCTCGATAAGCTGCTCGTACCATATCTGCATGAAATTTGGCAGGTCCCGGGCGCCGACAAACCCGCGGAGAAGAGGTATCACTATGCCGTTCTTGATCGTCCTATAGCTATCGTCGACATGAGCAACGCCAGTACGCCAGTGCAAAAGGATCTTCTCCAGCAGAGCGTTGAGCAACTTCTCAGAGTCGTTGAGTCCGGAATTGGGCAAGAAGATGTCGGTTCCTAGTTCAATAAGTAAAGCGGTGAGGCTCCACTCCACTTGCGACAGGCCTTCCTTGAGGAGACCAGTATACGCAGCGTGAGTAAGTAATGTATGGAGGGACAGTTTGATGTCTCTAGCAAGAACCACACGAAACAGACGTTCCAGAATGGCGACAAACTCAGTAAAGTACGCTGTCGTGTTCTCAGACTTCGCAATGGAGTACGCCAGCTCCGCGACTGCAACGAAAAGGGTTTCCAACCAAGGGCCTTCATGGTTCTGTCTTCTGAACGTGTCCCGGGGAACTGTGCGTGCTGCGATGTCGAAAAACTCCGGTAATAGCTCAGCGGTCTTCCACTTGGCTTTTTTCTGAATGCCGGCATTGTCACTGGTGCCCTGGTCGGGACTCTCTGGTGCGCAAAGAAGGGGCCTGAATGTATCCGAGACAGGCTTCACAGGACTCCAATCAGGCTCGTTGGCTGAATAGTCAATGCCGGAACCGCCTCCCTCGAAGAAGCTGGACCGGGCGGGGAGCACCACGTGCAGTGCAATGAGGCGTTCTAGTCCGTGCAGAACGTGGGCCCTTTCGTCGGTATCCAGACGTATTGAGTTGACGCAGAATTGTAGTCTGAGGGCGCTTTGGAAGCAGTGTTTAGAGAAACATTCCTGGTGAGCAGTCAGCGTTGTGTCTGCCGGATGTTAGGCTCCACACACAACCTACATTACTTAGCCCCTTTTCAGAATCGTCACGACGAGACGACCTCAACTCCCACAGATCAAAAATGGCCGGAAGCACGTAGAGCAAATGCTGTAGGTCCGTAGTCTGCTGCGCATGGAAGAGTTGCGTCGTGATGACGGCAGCGAGCCGGAAGGACTTCTGCAGCGTGACGGCGACCGATTCGGGCTCCCCCTTAAGAGCGTGCTTCAGATGCGAGCTCGCTACATCGTCAACCCCGGATGTCCGATCGACAAGCATAACTAGGCTATACAGACAGTCCAGAGCGCGGATGAAGGCCACAAAGCAGGAGGTTGGAGTACGGGGCGGGTCGTCGATATCCATAGCATCAGGTTCGTCCGCGCCGGACCTCTTCCTCTTGGTTCCCTTCTTATCGTAGTCGCCATTGCGGTGTGGTGAATCGCCCAATGTGTGACTAGATTCCGAGCCGGAGTGCAGTAGCTCGGCTGTCCCATCCCCTAATCCGGCCAGCACATCCTCCTCCAGGTCGGCGATAGCATCGTGGACTATTCCGAGGAACTTCTGGTCCTTCAGGGTCGTGGCCAATGTCTTGGGCGGGATTAAATCGATCAACTGTCGTAGTAAGAGGAAGGAGGCCGCATCGACACGATAGTTCTTTCCAGTCCGCAGCCTCTTCAACAACCATCGCAGGACCCATTCCGCTTTGGGGGCGGCGTTGTTCTGAAAGTGGGGGGTTCGGTTGATTTCAGGGTGACTGGCACATAGCGCGAGATCCAAGCCGATAATGTTCGCAGCGTCGTTGAGCTGTGCGGTGGGAGATGCGGTGCCTTTTTCGAGACGGAGCAGAGCCTCCTGCGACGAACGCGGGCGCTGTATAAGAAAAAAAAGATGCGATTATTTAGCCCACTAATCTACCTCTCAACAAGAAGATAATTTCAGGCGCAAAAGAACGACCTACCTCCGCGACGGAAGGCATCTCGAATTGGAGATGTGAGACAGTCAAGGAACCTGGTCGTTGGAGGAGAGTCAAATCAAGATCGCTTGTCTGACCAGGTCAGGACGAAGCAAACATCTTCCGTATGGAAGAGAAGGAGGAGGAAGAGAGGGGGGGGGTTTAGTTTTTTGGATTTGGTGTTCCCGAGATTAATTCTAATTATTATTCGAGAAAAAAAGTTGGACTGACGCCAGAGGGGAAAAGGCGGCGTGCGGGCGGAATGCTTTCCCTTTCCTTTCTTTCTTTCTTTATTAGCAGCAGTTCTTACCAGTTGGCAAGCCAGCCCCCAGCCTAATTTTTCCGACCGCCTTTCAATTCGGTAGCAGAGCTCGAACGTCCGCACCCGATCTTGATCTCGTGTCTGTGTGTGTTATCCCCTCCTCTCCCAATCTTCTTCTCTCCTCCTTGATTTAGCTCTAATTCACTTTCAGGCATCCCCGCCTTTGTCTGTAAGTAGGTCTGTGCCGACTGCTAGTGGTCAATATACTCCATCAAGAAACACCACTAATACTCAATTGAAGCTTCTCGCAATGGCCGACTCCAACGAACCCCAGCCGGTTGTACCGGTCCCTCGCTCCACTAAGCCCGTCAGCGAGGCCCTGCTGAACGAGAAGGTACGCCGACTGATGAGCACTGGCTCAATTTCCTCTTTTCTTCTCCTGCTATTCGGTCAAATCAATGCAAAGAGATCAATGATCCGGCGAGGCGCATCTCTACCTTGGCGACGGACCGTCAATCTCCGTTGACATCATCCGGACCACCCTCATACATCGATCTCTGCGAAATCAATCCTTGAATACACTAAGCTAATCTTGGGGATCTTCCTGTACGCATTACAGTGGGACCGCGCCATCTCTTCCCTCATCATCCGTTCCTCCCTCGGTCTCTCCTTCGGTGTCGTCTTCTCTGTTCTGCTCTTCAAGCGGAGAGCCTGGCCTGCCTGGGTTGGTCTGGGCTTCGGTGCCGGCCGTGCTTGGGAGGAGGCTGACTGTATGTTGTTTTATCACTAGATGCCTTAATGGCACGCGCACTGACTGGTTAATTCTAGCTTCCTTCCGTCGGGGTGACTCCCCCGTCAGAGATGCTCTGCGCCGGTAGAGCATCCCCAACTCGGCATCTGTTTCTGTATGATACCTGTATAGCTGGGAAGGAAATCAAGTCGGCGGTGAGGGCACACAGTGGTGGTGCGGTTTAGAAGGTTCTTCTAGACTTTTCTTTACTTTTAGCATGCAATTTATCGTTGGACCTGTTCGGCTTTGCGGTGCATCTACAGTAGTCAAGGACAAGACCTGGCTTGGTTCTCACGCTTGAGTTGTGTGCTCACATTCAATATGTGTGCGCAACTCAAGCATGTCACGGCCTGGCAAATCGCGCCAGCTCTTCTATCTGTATATGTGTACTCGGAAAGGTTTCAGTCCAGCTCTTGTAAGGCCTGGCTGTTGTGAGTAAGAATAGTCCACCGGTTAAGCTTAAGGATGAGTGATAGATTCAGGAGAGGAGTAATGTGTGTCATTTAAAGGTATCAAAAGATCGGAAAAGCATATACACAATTTTGTCATATACTCTATCACCGTGTGTACGGAGGGGTATCATGATCGATCGTCAGTCATTGGAGGACGTTAGCGCCGTTAATATCCAGACCCGGAGGCCCTGCATGGCAGACGGTCACGGAGGGAGTAGGATTCTGATATTAGACCAGATTCGGACCAGAAGTGGATATTTCAAAGCATGGAGTGTGAAGGTGCAAAAAGATGTTCAAACGCGGACATCTCGGATGTGCCAGACAGTGCTCCATCAGCCGCGGGGTTTGCGAGATTGGTATTGTCCCATTGGTGGTCATCGGATGGCAAGGGAGCGATTGCGAGACCGTTGTGTCCACTGTGCGTGAGGCAGCCTTCGCAAGTGCAATCGTTCCCGCACTGGCAACTACCGGTTATGTCTGAGCAAGCACTCGGAAGTCCTATTGGATACTCAAGGGTATAGTACTCCGAGGGCTCCATCATATGCTGATTCGCTGTGTAATTTGTGGAAGGAGTTGTGTAGCCACCGCTGAGACTGCCCGGTGTAGCAGACTGGTCGACGAAGGGATGCGTTCCCAATGGTTGAACAAGATTATCAGATGGGTGGCTGAAATTGGTATATGAATAGTGCAGCGGAGAAAACATCGGCTGTTGACCCAACAAAGGAGAGTTTTGACGGCTACTTGGGCTTTCCAAACCTTGTTCTCCATCGTTCAAGGCCACCAATAGTCCCATTTCTCGTACATGTTGTCTGGTGGTGTTGTTGAAGGGATGAGAAGCACAGCCTAGACATTGACAGTTGTCACCACAGTAACATTCATGAGTGGCATTATCCTCGTTTGCTGCCGCGGACGAAAAGTCGGAATGTCCCGTCAAGTCTGAGAATTGTGGCTGCTGCATCAACGCTTGAGAAAGCTCGGCGTCGTTGGAGGACCCGTGAAGTGGCATCTCCAACGAAGATGGGGTGTAATGGGACAAATAGTCAGGAATGATTGATGAGAATGCTTGGTGGCTCTGAGAAAGAGATGATGATGACAAGGTATGACCTTGCTTCGTTATTTGGGAGTCATGCCAATTGGAGACTTGGTGGTTGGAGAAGGAGGAAAACGGTGTTGCGTTTCCGCTGGAGCTTGATGATTGGGATCCAACCGACTTTACGGCTTTGATCTCTTTACAGCATTCACTTTGGGGGGCTATTTTAGGCTTCGCACAGCAAGAACGCTGGACTTCGGGTGCCGGCGGTGCAATTGGCTGAGGCGTACGAGTGCAACAACTCTTGGGTTCAGGTATCGTTTTGTCAGAACTGGAAGGATTGTCAGAGACAGGGTTTCCTCCAGTGCCGTTCAACACGTCCGAGTTTTGGTTGGCTGCAACAAACGATTTGTTTGATTCCAGATCCTGGGGGTGGTATGAGACGGAGCGATTGAGAAATTCACTCTCAGTGAGTTGATTCGCAAATATCGGAATAGAACTGAGTGCCTTGGTCAAGGCTTCTGGCGCAGTTTTGATCTGCCGTTTACCAGGCTTCTGCACTTTTATGGGTGCATTCGAAGGCGCTGGCGTTGAACCGACGGCCGGAGAGGAGACAGTCCCAGCAGCATCTGCGGGCACTTGATACACTGGTCTGCACAAACAACCGGAACCTGGACCATATCAGCAACCTTGAACGAGACTTTCAAGAGGGGGAGCGACAATCTATAATCTTGAGGCAGGTGATTGGGACCGAACTGACCTTTTGGAATGCGGATCATGAAAGCACATGTTTTCTGACAGCTACACGTGCCCTTCGGATGAGGGCATCTGGCGAGAGGTCGACCAGCTTTTGGCACTTTCATCATCATTCTGTCAAAGTGTTGACATTTGGACGACCGATGACCACGAATGCATGGCTCGCTAGTGATATGAGATCAATATTAGCGCAAGCGCGGAACCAACCCGGAAATATGCCATACCACGACCATTTGGCGCCTTCTTCGTCGAGGGGCATTTTGAAGCTCAATGCTGCATTCGTCAGGCGTATATTGTGATATGGATCGAGTTCCGCTGACGGCGCGTTTGCTCCCAAGGTGGACTCAGGGACGCAGTAGTTTTACCCCGCCCAGAGGGGTCCGATCGTGCCACGGCTTCCAGTGTACTCTACTCGCGAGGCCTCGGCGCAATCTCAAGAGGGTTAGAGCCACCACAGACCTATCCTCAACTCAGCAACCAAGAGCAGTATCGAAAAAGGTCAGGCTGATGGCGGTGACCCTTGTGATACTATCGATCTAGTGATTCGGTTGATAAACCGTGAATGATTTTCGAGAGAGTGCGAACTGGTCGGTTACTCAGGTAGCGACAGATTCCGGATATGGAGAGTTGGGAGACAATGAAGAGAACAAGCGCCGTGTGATAAGCCCAGGGCCATCGAAACTCCGCTCGTCGCGCTCTGTTGTGCTGTCGTCATCGAACTACAGCCCCGCAGGCAAGAAGGAAGATTCAAAAGAGAGGAAGATGCGGGGGAAATGCGGACGGTGGGCGCAAATGTCAAAGCGAGCAATTCTTGATCGATAAGGATAAGCCGAGACGCCCGCCGCAACCTCAGGCACTCACCCCTCTAGTGCCTTAGTGCCTCAGGCAATAACTAGCTTGGCACCGGAGTTTATTGTTTCGCAGCTATGCCGAGGGCCATCGCGATGCTTTCCGTTGGATACGATTCTGATCCTCCATTCCTCGATTCGCCTGCCTTTAGGCGTAATACACCTCGCTGACTGAAGCTGAAGCTGGGACCAGCTTACAATCTACCTAAATACTCATCGACATCGCTCCTCCTCTGTTTCTTCTGTTATTCCTGCTCCAATGACCTCGGAACGCCGTGAAGCCCCCGGCCAGACGCCGGACAATGCCACTGCGGCGGCGCGCGCTCGAGACTTCTTCTCCGTCCCTGCACCAGTCAAGCGCATCTTCGACAAGTTCCCTCTTGTCACTTATCCTGCCAACGATCTTCCGTACTGCTCTTGGTCCAATCGACAGGGAAATCGGTTGTTTGTTTTCACAGATGCCGCCGGCGCTAGGCATGGGAGGCCGTCTTTCAACCCTCAATGCCTCAAGTGGCAGGTAATTGCATACAACAATCTTCCCCTCAAGTCGGGCATTGTCGCTCACGACGCTCGTCTGTGGTGTTCTAGGCATATCTGCGGTTCGCCGGCATTGATTTCGACATCGTCCCGTCCAGCAACCATGCATCGCCCACCGGCGCCCTTCCTTTCCTCCTCCCCGCCCTGCCCGTCGGCAACAACGCCCCGATTCCTTCCAGCAAGCTCCAAAAATGGGCCATTGAGCAAGTGCACTGTGAGGAGGAGCAACAATTGAACACGCGCTTCGAAGTATATGCATCGTTGCTAGACCACCGGATACGAAATGTCTGGGTATGTGTTTTTTTGGCGTGTGGTGACAAGCGGAGGCAGGCCCCGCACGAGTCCTTATGCTAACAGACGACGTTCGTTCCAGCTGTATGCCCTGTATGTTGACAGCGAAAACTTCGACGCCGTTGCGCGACGTCTTTATGTAGACGCGAGCACCACGAACCCCGCCGTCCGGGCCGCTTTGGCGTTGCAGCTGCAGCAGGCTGCGCGCGCCGAGCTCCTGAAGACATCGACCTATATCGACGCCGGCGCGCTCGAAGCGGAAGCGGGCGAGGCATTCGAGGCCCTGTCGACGCTCCTCGGGGACAGCGTGCACTTCTTCGACCGGCCCAATCCGGGCCTATTTGACGCCAGCGTCTTCGCATACACGCACCTGATCCTGGACGAGAAGATGGGCTGGAAGCGCGACCGGCTGGGACAGCTGCTGCGACGCCATGAGAACCTTGTGCAACACCGCGAAAGACTGTTGAAGTTCTTCTAGAGCTGTATGACGAAAAGAAAGAAGAAACGATTTTACACCAAACCCACTCTCTCTGTACCATATTAGCCCCCTCTACCACCCGATCGCCGAGAAGCACGTTTACCTAGCCTACTAGACATAAAGATACAGAATTATACTCAAGACAAGCCCTCCCCAACCTATTCAAGCCATCTTTGTGATTATCTGCAACTCATCTTCTACCCTCTTTCCTTGCCCCATTAACCCAGAACCCATCCACATCCACCACTTCCCGATCCTCGTCCACCCGATTTTGCATCCACGACAACACATATACTATGTCCACTTCACTAGCTACCTAATCTCATCAGCCCAGCCTCTCCCCCCGCCTCCACCCTCCCAGAATTGATATCCCTCGAGCCCAGAGCAGACCAACTTGTCACCCACGCCCAGTGATCCGTACCCAGTGATCTCTCAGGAAGCAAAACCCCCAATCAACCACAACCAATAGCATAAACAGTAAAACTGAAGCACGAATTCCTCCGTAGGAATTAAACAAAGTGGCACCGTGCCTACCCGTTACGCTCTCCACTTGACAAGAAAGCCTATCAAGGTAGCCCCGTGCACCATGTGCACCATCCGCAAAGGAGAAAAGGATAATGTATCCATCCACCAGGTCTATCCCTGTCCCTCCCTCCCCCAGAAAAGCCATAGGTCGTGTAAACCGCGTGAGCAATAATCCGACCTGACGGGATATTACTAGAAGTCCCGGGCCCTCATGTGTAGTTACTGTAAACAGCAACTCTGGAAGAATAACTGAAAGAACCGTACCTTACAGTCAGCACCGAACCCCTCCAAACCCCAACCCAATCATCCACCTCTATCTATATATCTCGCGATAGAACCATAAACCAACATCCCAGACCCCTTCAACTCAGAAGCCTTTCGGCAAAACTGTATCTGTAGTCAGCGATGAATCAGCTTACTTCTTGGCTTGCGTGTCGTTGACTTTCATTTGCTTTGTTCCGGGCAAGCCATGTTTTTGGGACGGCGGGATTGATACTAGGTAACTTCCCAGCAGGAAATCCGGAATCAGGTTTTGCGCCGATTGGACGAGCCTTCTTGCTGTACCGGTTTGCTGACGGGACAGGACCTGTTTTCGAAGCAACTCGAGCTGGAATATTTTCAGAGTGATTATTGAATGGGTTTGTTGGTGGTTCGCGAATCTTGGTTGGGGTTAGAGGATAGAGGCTGGGTGTGGGAATGGTTGTACGTAGATCCGAGGATCCGCTGCAGGTTTTACGTCCCATCACTGCGATATAATCATAACTGGGGGTTTAACTGGGTTGAGCCAGGTCAATGGTGCGGATGTGCTTGCAAGATTGAAAGTCAACTAGGATGCAACGCAACGCTAGTACACTCGCAGCCCAGCATCGACTTTTCTACTCAGAAAGACTGGCTTGCAACGTCCAGCCACGTACATTATCGAGGAAGAACACGGGGCCAGCCATGCGCCCGTCAGATCAGATTCACACTAAACTGGACATGAGTTTCTCCACCAACACTGAACTATTTGTTGTTTCAGGTTTCGTTCATTCGAAGCTGGGGACGCTGGGAGATCGAGCGCCGATCGCAAACATGGCACATGAAAGACATCATCGTAAGCACATGCTAAAAAGCCATAAAACATAGGAGAGACATGACCAGGGAATAATAAAAGAAGAGGAATGGTGTTCGAAAATCCAAAGACCGTGCCAGACGGAAAAAAAAAGAACAGGGAAATGGCATAAATGGCCCTGATAGCCAAGGAGAGAAGAAGATAGGAAAATGGACCAAGTCGCGAAAAAGACATGACCGTCGAAGGAAAAAACCCCAATAAGCCGATTAAGCAAAACCCAGCCATGATACCGTAAAAATCCATGCAAGCTCCGTCGCTGAAAACAGAACACAAGAACGCAGAAACCCATTGTCGCTCGAAAATGATGTTTAGTAGACGGTGGCGCCGAAGGGGGCGGTTTCTTTGAGATCCTCCACCAGATCCTCGACATTGTTCAGATGTCTCCCTAGTAACGCTTGCTTCTCGTCGGTGGTGCGCGTATCCCGATGTGCTTTGCCGCCGCCGTACGCCCCCGGAACATTGACACTCCTGGACACTTGCGCTGCGCCAAGCTTGCTGGGGCTGCGCTGATGACCCATGACGGCCGTGTTGGGCGCAGAATGGCTTGTCGGAATCATCGGAGTTTCTGGCATCAGGTAGAAGTAGAGGAATTCCACAAGCTTCAGCTTGACTTCGCGCGAAGTGGCCCGCTGTTTGAATAGGGAGGTCACGGTGAGTAGACCGTCGAGTTCCTCAAAGGTGCGTGTGTTGGCTGGGTGATCCAGAAGAGCTGTGACCAAGGTGAGAAGAGTCGCTGATTGGATGGCTGGGCAATTGATGGGGTCGAGCAAGTCGAGGAGTAAATTCATGTATATCTCGCGCGCGAATAACGTGCGCGAGGGCGGGTGGAGTAGAAGCACGCCTTGTATGAGGTCAAGGGTGGTAACAATAAGAGCGTCGTTGGTACCATTGCTGCCCCGCCCAAGTAGATGCTCGAGACATGTTACCAGGCGCATTGCGACTGTGGATAGCAAATCAGCATCATGGATGTTGCGACATGCATGGATGCAGGGGCGGTAGTGTTACTCACCATTCCATTGAAAGCCTTCCTGAAGCTTAAAGAATTCCCTGAAAGCCGGATCATCTTTGAGTTCGGACAGGGACTTGGGCACGGGTTGCGGAGCTCCAAAGGACAGGAGGGACCGCCGCTTGTCCGACGCCGGTCGTTTCGACTTGGACAAACAGATCTGTGCGAGGAGCCCTTCCACCTGTCGCAGACCCTTCCGGACCTTGCTTGGCTCGTATGAAGAGAGATAGTCAAACGAATGCGCCAGCAATGCCTCCATGAGTGGTGTGAACAGGGAAGGGTAAAAGGCGCAACGGAAACTCCAATAACTCTGTAGCACAGAAGGACGGGAGAAGGAAGGGGCGAGAGAAGAAGAAGAAATGGAGAAAAAGAGAAATAAAATCCCAAGAAGACAATGGAGGAAACGGGAAATCGAAAAAATAAATGAAAAAACAAAGCGTTTGATCAACCGACGGGCCCGTGAAGAAGAATAGACCCTTGGGCCAAGACGATCGGGTACAATTTGATGATTTGATGTGTAGCGTAGCGGAACGTAGCGTGCGTAGTGTAGAGATGGTCGAAGGCTAAGAGGTACGATCTTTCTAAAAATTGCCTCAAAGAAGTCCAAAGGGCTTCAAAGCTGAAATAGAAAATAGAATGGATCGAGTCCAGACGCTTGGAGAATGGAGCCCTTAATTAGTTCCAGAAAGCATTGGTGACGATAAAAGAAAGACGGTGGGCACGAACCGTCCGGGAAAACATGATTGTTGACGGGAAGACGGTCAGCGATGCTTACTTAGAGCCTTAGACTAAGTCAGTCACTAAGTCACTTTCTTAGCCGCCAGCCTTAAGATTCCCCACATTTGACAACAACATCCCCATCGTTGTCCCGGGAACCACTTGCTCTCTACCAATGACCTGTCCAGCAGCTGTGCTTTTTCACACGGGCTCCTTGTGGTGGACTAGCGCCCAGTCTAGTGCAGTAGATAGATGATGTCAAACTGGGGGGGCTGGGGTATTGCGATTCAGCTGAGCTACGCCATTGATGAAGCGCATCCTGCGGGTGGGCATGGGCATGGGGCTCAATTGTGACGTCTCGGTCTTGCCGACATGCAAATTGAATCATTGATCACTGCATCACTGCATCACTGCATCACTACATCACAGCACCACCTGGCAGCTGTTGACTCTTGCCCTCCTGAGCAAGTCGTCCGGGCGGAACCGGGCAATTTTCCGCCCTGTACCAGCCACTCGCTTTCTGATTCTTGGGTCGTACAATTAACAACATTAACAACACACTGCAGGATGGATGTAGTGTTACTGTGCGTGCTGGTGTCAGCGACCGACAAGCACGCGGCAAGGTTGAGGCCCGTTCGGTCGGAGTTTCTCCCCAGCCAGAACGAGCCCGACCACGTGACTCCTCCCGTTCTGTCCGACCCGACATGTGACACTACGTCACGTTATCCCCCGCCGTAGACTTTTTGGTTATTCACTCCGCCTATTGATTGATTGCCCCCTCCCCTCTCTCTTCTCCGCGGGTATGCAACAACTGCTGGATGCATGCAGCAAAAAACCGACCCGTCTGACTGTTCGCGCAGGGGGTTAGGTTTTCTTATTTCACATTTTACTTGACCCAATCTGGCTTTCTACAAACCTACCTCACAATCAACTGACTCCGAGTCAGTATGCAGGACTTTGCCTCTCGTGTTCATTTTCGCTGTCATAGAACGTCGGGGTAAAATTCCACAAGATTTAAACAGAAAAAAAGGAGTGCTTTCCCCCCCCCGCTCCTCCGCTTACTCCCACTTCTATCCTCTTCAGCAACCCCCCCTAAAGTAAGCGGATACAGCAAAGCAACCTTCGTCTTGAGACGCACGGGAAACAAGATGCCTTCCGAGCCACTTTTCCAGCCAGCCCCGACCACTCTCCTCCAACCCAGTTCGAGCTCGGTCACGAATGACGATGTTTGGGTTGAAGCGGGTCCACCCAGCATGCCCGGATCGGACTTGACAGCGATCCCCGAGCAGGGTCGGGGGCTTGGATCGACAACAGCAGCCGATGGCGTCCTTTCGACGAATCCCAATAACGTGTCCCGCACGCATACTCGTAACCGGTCCAGTGTGGATGGCACCAAGTACAAGGACGGGCAATGGTCGCCGGAGAACGAGAAGATCGTGCTCGGTCCCTATGACTATATGCTTCAGCACCCGGGCAAGGACATTCGCCGACAGCTCATCAACGCCTTCAATGTATGGCTGAACGTGCCCCCGGAGAGCCTGACGATCATCACCAAGGTGGTGGCTATGCTGCACACTGCCTCTTTACTGTAAGCTTCCACCTTTCTGTACCAATATCCACGGAAAGCTTCCTCGGGGAGAGCAAAAGCAAAAGCAAAAAAGAAAAGAAAAGAAAAGAAAAATCAGAAGCCATCCGCGTAAACAAAACTGACCTGTGGAAAACATTGACCGACAGAATCGACGATGTCGAAGATAACTCGGTCCTCCGCCGCGGGATCCCCGTGGCCCACAACATCTACGGCACGGCGCAGACGATCAACTCGGCCAACTACGTGTACTTCCTCGCGCTGCAGGAGGTGCAGAAGCTGCACAGCCCGGCCGCCATCGACATTTACGTGCAGGAGCTGCTGAACCTGCACCGGGGCCAGGGCATGGACCTGTTCTGGCGGGAGACGCTGACCTGCCCCACCGAGGAGGAGTATCTGGAGATGGTCGGCAACAAGACGGGCGGGCTGTTCCGGCTGGCCGTGAAGCTGATGCAGGCCGAGAGCGGCGCGGGCAAGGACTGCGTGAGTCTGGTCAACGTCATGGGCCTGGTCTTCCAGATCTGCGACGACTACCTCAACCTCTCCAGCGGCACCTATACCAAGAACAAGGGCCTTTGCGAGGACCTCACCGAGGGCAAGTTCTCCTTCCCGATCATCCACAGCATCCGCGCCCGACCCGGGGATCACCAGCTGCTCAGCATCCTCAAGCAGAAGACCACCGACGAGGAGGTCAAGCGCTACGCGGTGACGTACATGGAGCAGACCGGCAGTTTTGCGCACACGCGGGACGTCGTCCGCGAACTGCGGGACAAGGCGTTGGCGCTCATCACCGAGATCGATGGCCACGGGGCCTGCGACGATGGCGCCATGGTTCGTGCGATTCTCAACAAGATCACAGAATCCACACTAGGGAAACCTCAAGAGTCCAATTAATAGGAGGAGGGGGGAAACTGGCCATCTTATTTCATGCCACAAACCCCGACATAATCCCAGGCCGTCGAATTAGACGATGGAGCTCGGACATACATGTGGTGGTTCAAACAAGGAGAGATAATGGAGAAACATACATGATCTTGTCTATTTAGCAGCGCTGAATCAGAGATTGCACACGTGATAACAAATCAATTACGAAGATCTTTCTTTATCTGCTACCTGCAAGAGTACGGGACAGGGTAGTTGTGTGGATGAAATCATGACGACTCTTTACCCCGCTCCCTCCAGGAATTATCAAATATCCAACAACAATCCAAATCTCATTCACCAGTAGCTGCCCTCGTATTAATCCAAAAACATTACTGTATCTTATGTCCAAAATCGAAATCGGGCCAATGCCCACGCCGTATATCCAGGTCGCAAGCCGATCATTCTCCTCACATGACCACACAGCAGGCTTTTTCCAGCTTGCGCAGAATTCTGGGGAGAACGGCGTTGACAACCTCTTCGAGCTCATTCTGGTTACCCCCTTGCTGTTGCTGGTGCTGTTGTTGTTGTTGTGGGTATTGCTGCTGCTGCTGCTGCGGGTATTGGTGCGATTGCTGTTGACCACCACCACCAGGGTACTGCTGCTGCTGTTGGTGGTGGGGTTGCTGGTAGTGATGCGCCGGCGCCTGGGACATGTCGGCGGGTCCGCCGGTCAAGTTCACGTAGATGCGGCCGGCGTTTTCCTCCGTCGCATACTGCAGCCCGAGTTCGCGACAGACCTGTTCCACGCGGGGTTTGATCTTCTGCACGTGGTTGGCGGAATGGTTGCCCTTTCCGACGATGCTGGGAGGTTTTAGAAAGACACGAAAGATTTAGCTTCATGTTCTCCCTTACGTCCAAGTTGGCGAGCACGATGCCGGTAGATCGTCCGAGAGAAGAAGCGACGGGGGGGGTTGGGGGCAATTCGCACTTACACATGTAAATGCGTCTGCCCGTGGTTTTTCGCATAGCGGATCCTCTCCTCTAGGATTTCCTCGGCCTCCTCGACGAACTGCCCGTGAAGATCGATGGTGTCCGGCGCGACGCGCCCCTCGGCGTTGTTCTCGCGGAAGATGAACTCGGAGGCCTGCTTGTTGTACTCCTCCATCTTGCGCCCGTGGGCTTTGCCTTGTTCCGAGAGTTCTTTGGCCCGGGCGCCGTCGCCGCTGGTGTATGCTTCTTGGGACTATATTTTTTTTGGGGGGTCTCAGGGATCAGTCTCCATTTGGCTGATTGTAGTTAAAGGGGAGAGTGGATTGGCGCAGAAAGTTGTGCAGGTGGTAGCGAGCGAGATCATCTAGGCAAAGGTGAAGAAGGTCAAATACCCGTTGAAAGCATGAGTTGCGCTTGGAAGCCTCCTGGCGCGCGAGGTCGCGGAGACGGTCATATTCGGCTTCCGTGTCTTGACTTTGTTCGTGGTTGAAGGCTGTAGAGAGCGTTGGGGGAATATCACATCAGTCTGAGTGAGCGCGCGCGAAGATCGGGGTAGCGAGGGATTTCCCCCGTAGGACCAGGACCCTTACCCCGAGGGCCCATATGAGACATCTCGTGCATCTTGAGAGAGACTTCGGTTGTGAGCGACTTCTTCAATCTATGTAGATGCTGGATAGGATGGGTCTAAGCCGGGTAACGAGCGACACGGGCTGTTCTTGAATAATGGATGTAACGACAGTTGTCGAGAATAGAGAAAGAATGGTGAAATTTCCAGAGAGGCGAATGTCGCAGCGATCGGGCGGCATTGGCGCCAGTCGATGGCCGATCTGGGATCGGAACCCTACCTTAGAAAGGGTTTTTGGGCTGTATGTAGGTGGCCTAAGGCTGCTGTCCTCCGGTGATGCGGCGCAACCCACTGACCGCACTTTCAAGCCCATTTCAGATGGCGTTGACCATGTACAGTAGAAAGGAAAGAGAGAACGATGAGATTTGCTTAGATATGGCAGATATGGCAGAGAAGCATGTCATCGCGCGGCTCTTCAATGTTTCGCTGAGAAGCACCACTATCATGGCAGTTCGTCGGCTAATCCCCGGAATGGATCTGATCGGGGCAAGCTGGTAGATAATACGAGAATACTAAGTAGGCGTCATTCTATCTTAGTGATAGGCTGATCGTAAGCATTGACACTTGGGACAAGATAATCAATCCTAGCATTCAGTCCTGCGTACTGAGCCCACAATAGTGTATCGATAGAGATGAGTAGGCATCGGAGAATCCGACTTACCCTTTGAAGAAGATGCGCCAAGCGCATTGAGCCAGGCCAAGTGGAAACCAATTCAATAGTCTGGCCACCCTCCACGAGCTGAAGAGAACGACCATGCCTAGACTAGAGAGGCGCCCGAAGCACTGGGATCATTGAGGATTCGCACACTGAGACAGACCTTTTCCTGAAGCTTGATTGATTAATTCAAGACCCTGAACATGGTGTTGCAAGGTCGATCACACCGCGCAGCTTGCGACGAGAATGTCCAATTCTTCTGGAACCCGGAGAAACCAGATCTTTTACCGTCCCACACAGTGAATTGGAACGACGAAGAAGCTGACTAGTCGTTTATTAGTCCATGGTCGAACCATGGATGCCAGTGCCAGTAGGGTTCGGCGGGAGATTCATCTTGGCTCGGATTGTTGCTCCGCTTCTCCTTGGGAAAGCAGAAACACGGATGGAACATGATGGTTTGACTGTCTCTCAATCGTAGCAGGTTGAGTACAAAAGGTGGGAGTCTGGATCAAAACCTTGAAGCCATTTCAAAACATGTATCAGGCGAGGAAGGAATATCTGACGATCTATCAGGGAAGGAGGGCGTCTCACTCACCCAAGCCTGGCTGGAATCAGCATCATGCCTTCTCGCCCATTTTCTCAACTCCTCGTGCGGAGAAGCGATCGACGGGGCAGTTGGGGAGTGGAGCTTACAGCATACGGTACCTCACTAAGAGAGACTAGTAATCGTCCCTCCGTATTCCATCAAGCGCCTTCAAATACCAGTATCAGCAACACTCTTGCTTGAGGAATTCACACAGCATCTATCAAAAACATTGAGCATCAGCCAACAACTATACGTATACTGGCACTGCATGATGTCATGCATCAATGCACCAGGGGATGAAGAGCCAGGGGTGAATCACAACAATGAAACCGTCCAAACGCAACGGTTCTGGACTGTACCTGGCGATCGGGGCGCGCAAAGTGTGGTGCCAAATCCCCACCCACTTCCTGGGTGGCGGCACCTCTTGAAACGCAGGTCTCTTTCGACTAAGCTACCGGGCTATTCTTACCCTCTCCTGCTCGTTGCTGCCATGTCCCTTTCCAATGTACAGTGCTAGTCTACGTATCTGCAAAGAGATGGAGAGACCCCACACCCGCATATGCATCTGTATACTCGTAGAATGGCTGCTTGCCGGGAGACGATGCACAAGTAGATTGGACTGAAAGATGTTGGTCAAGATTACTTACCTAGTAGTATTTGAATTTGGAGACCAACACTCGTGGTCAGTCGATCTGCGGTACCCGGAAATTAATCCATGCGACTTGGTGACTATCTGATTGTTAATAATCAACAATGGCCGGGGGTGAGTTACCGTAGTCTCGTCAAGTCTCATGAGTCGGTTGCTCTTCCTTGGTCGATGGGCGACTAGTAATGTGCGTAAGTAATGTGCGTACTGTACTTCGTATGCATGAGAACTTAGGTAGTAGACTACTAAGGTCTTAGACGCCATCCAGCGGCAGCACCAGGAACACTTCCATGCAGTAGCTTGCCTACTGGTCCTGCATGTTTCGCTTATTTGACTTGACTGATAGCAGTCCCGATACTAAGTCGATGAGAACTTCAATGAGATATTTCAAGATACTGCAGCCATGGAGCATGTACTGTACTATATGGTGTTGGCAGGTACTTTATGGAGCAGCATCGCGAGTCATGAGCATATCACATGAGGTACCCATGATCAAAATAATACTGTCCTTATCTAGTAGGTAACTCATAGAATAGGTACTCGAGGAAGGCAAGCGGGCGGTGGAAACCTCATGGCTAAGGCCATTCATTCATCACTGCTGATGGATCCTTCACAGCCGGGAAAAAAAAAAGGGGAGGGTGGGAGATGGGCAGTACCATTGGTCAGCCTGGGCTCCGCACCACCGGATCCTCTTTCAACTCGACAACCAATGATAAAATGACTTCGAACTCGCCCATCGCCATTACCAGACCAAAACCTCCACTGCCCCCTTATTGATGCAATTTTGCTGATGGTTTGAACCTTCACACTGGGTCAATTGGTGTTCCTGATGTTCCAGAAGGAGGAAAAGTTCTCTATCTTCAGCGTCTCAGTCGGAGACGGACTCCAATCGAGCACGAGGTTCCTCAACCTTCCCCTCTTCCTCCTTTCCCCTGCCCGCTTAACTCGGGGCTTGTAAGAAGGTATCCAGCGGGTATCCAGCGAGTATCCATCTTACCGACTGGCAAAGTTACAGACCTTTCCCTAATTTGGCCCCTCTTTTTTTTCCCTTTGCCCAATTTTCGCCTCTTTTCCCTCTGGCTCCAGCACTCACGTTCCTCAGTCTCCCTCTCTTCCTCTCCTCTCCAGTGTCTCGGTCTTCATCCTCTCAGGCGCGCGCTCGCTCCCTCCCTCCCTCCCTCTCTCTCTCTTCCCCCCTTACCGGCTGAGCTTAATCTTTCTCGCTCCCGTCCTTCAGCCTCGCTCGCTTTCCTCCACCATTTTCCTTCTCTTCCTTTCTGCATTCTCTCCCCCCCCTCCTCCTCCTTCCCCCCTCCCTCCGTTCATCCAATCCTCACAAGTAGATTGGGGTAGGTTGACCACAAAGCAGCTACTTGTTGATACCCGGTATCACCTGCTTCTCTTTTCTTTCGACACACCTTTGATTACCTTTGAAACTTCGCTCCTACACACACACGTACCTTTGCAACAACCGACACAACTGGTGTACCAGTGTTCCACCTTCCTTTCGCCTCCTTTCCACCTAGCCTTAAAGCTTCGCGCTTACATCTGATTTTTCCCCTTGCCGCCCATTCCTTCGCATCCGCTTCGACCTTCGAGTAATACTGTCTTCGACTTGATCTATTCATCTCTTTTCTTCTTGTGGGAATTTATCAGATCAAGTTCTCGAGCAGAGTAAGCCGTTCCCCTCGTTCTTCTCGCCCTACATGAGATGTCTGTCCGCAAGTCATCCATTGGATGCGTCAGCTGCGCCTCCTTGCGTCAGCACGGTCGCTGGGCGGCGAAAGTTCTACCCTGTTGGACCTTAACCTTCCGAATATCTGCTTTGGCTTTTGACATCGATGTTACCGGCTCACGGGTTGGCCTGCGCTTCACGGCCTCGTTCCCGTGTCCGACGACGTCCGCGCTGGACATCATCCTGTTCTGACTTCAGCAACGCGGAGAATTGCCTTTGACTGACATTGATCGTCGCTGACAGGTTCCCGAATACCAACGCCTCGCTCAACTTTCGCCGTTCATTTACGACATCCTATTGATTAATTACACCTTCATTGATTGCCGCCAAAATGGGTTGTGGAATGAGTACTGAAGACAAGGAGGGGAAGGCCCGCAACGAGGAGATTGAGAATCAGCTCAAGCGGGACAAGATGATGCAAAGAAACGAGATCAAGATGCTGTTGCTCGGTACGCGCCTCTCGACCACTGCCGCTTTGGGGAATTCATTGGACGGAGAGTTAACATTCTTCGTGAATAGGTGCCGGAGAGTCCGGAAAGTCGACCATTCTCAAGCAGATGAAGTTGATCCACGAGGGCAGCTACTCCCGGGATGAGCGAGAGTCGTTCAAGGAAATCATCTACAGCAACACCGTTCAGTCGATGCGTGTCATTCTGGAGGCCATGGAATCCCTTGAGCTTCCTCTGGAGGATGCTCGTAACGAGTACCACGTGCAGACCGTCTTCATGCAGCCTGCTCAGATCGAGGGTGATAACCTGCCTCCGGAGGTTGGCAACGCCATCGGCGCTCTGTGGCGCGACACCGGTGTTCAGGAGTGCTTCAAGAGGTCCCGCGAATACCAACTGAACGACTCCGCCAAATAGTGAGTTTTCACCGCGGTCGCTCCCAACCCGCTAAATTGTTGTTGACCATAATGAACAGCTACTTCGATGCCATCGATCGCATCGCCCAGCCCGATTACCTCCCCACCGATCAGGATGTTCTCCGCTCTCGTGTCAAGACCACCGGTATCACCGAGACGACGTTCATCATCGGCGATCTCACGTACCGCATGTTCGACGTTGGTGGTCAGCGGTCCGAACGTAAGAAGTGGATTCACTGCTTCGAGAATGTTACGACAATCCTTTTCCTGGTTGCCATCTCCGAGTACGACCAGCTGTTGTTCGAGGATGAGACCGTCAACCGCATGCAAGAAGCGCTCACTCTCTTCGACTCGATCTGCAACTCGCGGTGGTTCGTCAAGACCTCTATCATTCTTTTCCTCAACAAGATCGATCGTTTCAAGGAGAAGCTGCCCGTTAGCCCCATGAAGAACTACTTCCCCGACTATGAGGGAGGCGCAGACTACGCCGCCGCATGCGACTACATCCTCAACCGCTTCGTTTCATTGAACCAGGCCGAGCAGAAGCAAATCTACACTCACTTCACGTGTGCTACGGATACCACTCAGATTCGCTTCGTCATGGCTGCAGTAAATGGTAAGCCCACATCATCTCTGAAAGTTCCACGTAGGGCCAGACACTGACTGTTATCCAGACATCATAATCCAAGAAAACCTGAGACTGTGTGGTCTGATCTAATGACCGGTTTATCTTGATCGAGCAGAGTGGACTCGCATCTAGACCGTATGCTATGTGACTTGTAATTCTGTGCTTTTTTGCTCTTTGTCATACCATGTTGCAGTTTTTTACCCCTCCCGAAAGATTCCGGCGTTGAGACATTCACTTGTCCATTACTACTAATTTCTGTTTCTATTTTCCTTTGTCCTGAAATGATATCTAGCCGGCTCTTTGTTATCAGCATCACCGATATCCATCCCATGACACAGAGCAGGAGTTGTTTCTCTACCTATTCCCTCCCGCCTCCTCCCCCTTCTAACTCTTCACTGTGAAGCAGCAGGATTCCTGTGGATTGTATCGATTCTACAAAGCTGTTAGAATTCTGTGTCTTATGTCCATGTTTGAACTTCTCTTTACATTTTATTCCCTTGTTTTTGATCGATCCATAGGATTCCCATGTTTTCTATTTCTGGTTCGTTCCTATCTTATCTCACCGCTGCTACCCTGGACTCTCATTCCGTTTCTTAATTTCATGTGTCTTGATCTGAAGCTGGATATTCCATCACGTCTTGGTGCAACTGGTCCACCTCGTTGTGTGTAATCATAGATCACGCTGTTCATCTGGTCTGGGGAAACCAATGTCTTAAGGGCTGGTAGTATGTATGAGAGGATCAACGATGGTATGCGGTATGCAGGCTACATATGTGTTTGCCGATGCGGGGGGCGGGGTTGTTCATTTGTCATGTCGGTGCCGTTTGCAACCAGGGCTGTCGGAAGTCCAGGCTCTGCTGGTGGGTGCACTAGGTGTAGTGTTGGACACCTTACAATACATGCGAGTTGAATCAGTCAGGATGTGCATGTGCACGTATCATCGTATCTAGTTGCTATCAACTTTCGGCACTTGGACTGATTCAAGCCATGCTAGCTCAGAACATCGGAGCAAGGGATCTTTTTTATTCTCTTCCAGAAGCTAGGGGCACAGATCGAGTTCGGAACGTAAGCAAAAAAATTAAATTCCATATCCCAGCTAATGCATACAAAACCAATCCACGCTAGCAAGAAGACCACTGTCCTAGAACCTCAACTTGGGCCCCACATACACAATCAGAATCGCCACGATCCACAGCCCGAAGATCCAGGCGTACAGCATCATGCGCCCCCACCAGCCTTTCCCCTCGGACATCCGGCGCAGCGTGCCCATGCGCCGCTCCGCGGACTCCATGCTGGTCGTCGTGCGGTCGAGCCCGTCGACCGCGCGCGCCAGCACGGATTTCTCGGCGTCCAGCGAGGCGTGGAAGGCCTGCGAGGAGGATTTGAGCTGCGAGGCGAGCGAGAGGAGCGAGGTCGTTAGGTCTTCTTGTTCCGCGCGGTGCGAGACGAGGATTTCTTCTGTTGTTGTTTTTGTGGGGTTGGGGTTTGTTGGTGAGGATGATGATGATGGGTGGGCTGGGTGTAGTGAGGTGCCGGTTGCTGTTAGGGTTGAGGAGGTTGAGGAGGATTGAGGGGCGGTGGTGGCGGTGGTGCGGTTGCGGAGGGTTGCGGAGGGTTGTGAGGGTGGGGTTGTTGTTGTTGTTGTTGTTGTTGTTGTTGTCGTTGTCGTCGTCGTTGCTGGTGCTGGTGCTGGTGCTGGTGCTGGTGTGGTCGTTGGTGGTAATGGGGAGTCTGTCTCTGTGGCAGTCGGTGTGGGGAGCGCGGAGGAGAGGGTTGGTGGCTGTGGCTCTGACTGTGGTTGCTGGTTTTCGACGGTGTCATTGCCCCGGTCCTCGTCGACGACTTCGTCGGTGGTGCTGCCATCTTCCGGGGTTCCAAGGAGGTCTTCCCCGTCGAGGGGTTCGGAATCCGAGTCCGAGTCTCCTTCGGTTTCTGCGTGGGGGGTTGATGCGGGGGTGCTAGTGCTGAATGCCGCTGCGGCGTCTTGTTGCTGTTTCCTACCCCGGCTTGTCTCCGCTTCGGCGGTGAGTTGGTCTAGAAAGTCCTGGAGGCGGTTGAGGACAAGGCGTTGCTGTACGAGGTTGGTCTGGAGGGTTTGTCGGTGATCGGGAGGCTTGATCTGGGGGAGGCTGCGTTCGAGGTTCTGGAGGGTAGTGCGGGCGTAGTCTATGTTCTGGGGAGTGGGGTTGCTCAGGTCAGTGATGATGTTCGGCCGTGGAGACAAGCGGAGAGGAGGGGGGACATTGTGAACCGGATGCGGACTTGAGTCGTTGCGCATTTGATCGACCTCACAAGTTCCTTCCGAACAGTGTATATGAGACGGGAAGATGTTATGATCTGGTAGAGAAGTCCAGTGGGATGCACATACCGCTCCTACTCTCTTGCGCTGGTAGTCTGATTGTCGGAGTGGCCTCAAGTCCGCCGCGGAAGAGAGCAGATTGTATTCTAACCGTGCCAACAGGCGCGACAGATTCAGGGCGGCGAGATCGGAGGAATCCGGGGAGGTATCGTAGGTCGTGATTGTCATCTTGGCCAGTTCCTCGCGCTTTTTTGATCCGATGGCTCTACTGAAATCTGGAAATCAGGGAGTGAGTGAGCTTGGATGCCCGACGGATCTTCCATCTCGCGGTGCGGCGGAGAGCTCGGATGACTCAGCAGGGGGAGAGCTATCCTGCCATGTGAGCCACACTAGTCCGGTTTGGGATGTGTAGTATATCCAAGGGCATTGGAAGGTAGGAAAGTACTCTATGTACTAAATCCTGCACTTCATCGCAAGAAGACACTGCACTTGGCTAACGACGTCCTGAGTCTCCATCGTTGCTACTTGCGCGAGGTCAAGGCGGCTCCCAAGAGCTATACTTCGATGGGTCTGTAAGCGACTCAACTGCGAATCTCTATGTTGTACAGCTCCAGATCTGCCAGAAGAGATGGGACAGCGTGCCACAAGTGCTTCTACTGCAGGAGCAGCTGATCTCTCATCGCTATTATCTCCTTTTCTTCTACTGACCCGGATAGTCTCTTTCCATCTCTGACAAACACTTCCGATTATCATTCAGTCATCAATCATCATCAACCACAAACTAAAAACTCCTTTGACAAATCAAGAACTAAAATATGCCACCCAATCCTCGAGCTTGCCTTTCTGGCATGCGCTTGAAACTGGTCCCTGATGAGAATAGTATCCATCTCGAAATGAAGAATAACCGAAGCATGACGAAGAAGAAGGAGAAGGCCCCTCAGAAGCAAATCCAGGCAAGTAAGCGACAAAGACCACACACATCATCAAGAAATCAACTGTACTCCACCACCACCCGTTTCCAGGTCCGCACTCCCTCCTCGTCTGCATCGCGCATGTATTGGACTGCGTGCTCGGATTTCCGCGTCGGTTGAGTTCCGCTAGACTCCGCAACATTGAGCGGCGGTTCCTGGCTGTGGCTTTCGGTACGCCACCCAACCGGGGATGAACCCGTCCGTGGTGGAGCGTTCGGGGCCATGCTGCCACCATTCAATCGCTCCGAAGGCAAGCCACCGAGATCATTTTGACAGGTGGAGGAATTGAAAATTCCGTTCATATCGGCGTTCCCGGGGGCTGGTAGAGCAAGCTCATCGCCGGAATACGAGTGTTGCGGCGTCCACGAGCTCCGCTCTCGAGTTAGGACCGCCGCCAGATAACCACTTGATGGCAATTGAGACAAGTGCGACAAGGGCTGCAGAACGTCGCAAGCTGAAGGGAATGAGCTAGCGTGGTGGGAGATTGGATATTGCAGGTAGGCAACGCCGTAGCCTTGGCCCACTGGACTGCTTGGTCCGTCGCCACCTCCCTTCTCTAGCGAAGATGATAGCGGATCCATTTGCCTCTCTGCTGATGCGTACCTGAGCCGTCGACGCCGGATACGCTGAAGAAGGACTAGGGCGCAAACTATGCAAGCAACACAATAGATGATTCCGAGCGACGCTATCTGGATATTCTTCGGAATCGCCGTCTTAAAATTCGTGCACCTCATTGCAAGGAGGCTTAGGGTTTATAGTTCCCTGTGGCGGCCAATGGGATCCCAGCTGCTCGTTAGGCTGTGGGCAAAATGAACTACACACCCAGTAAGTATTTGGACCAAATTATCATTTGGAAGGCCATGGAGCACAAGGAATGGGTGAAGTACTGTACCACGTTGGTTTCTTTGGTCGAAGTAGTCGCTTCTATACAATTCTGATGGGCCACCGCAGGGAGACAAATAAGGACGGGCTAAGCAAAAGCGTCGCGTCCAGATGCACCAGGAGAAGAGGTAAACGATCGAAAGTGCGATATGCTTGGATTTATCTTGATTCTCGCAGATATCGGATGGTCTTTATAAATGAGACCGGACCATGGCGCAACCAATATAGACGGTAACAAAAGCAATAACATCCGGCCTTAGGGCAACCCATGCATGGCACGAAACACGCCTTTTTTAATTATATGTGCACGGAGATATGCGGAATCCACTACAGAAAGACTAGAGACATATCTGATGGAAATGACAGTCTACTTCACTAACGCGCACTATTCGAGTGGGCTATGACAGAGGGGGGAGGTTAGCCCCTCCCAGTCCAGCTGTGCCATCATCAGCCACGAGAGCTTACGAACCGATCGCAACCGACGAGAATGACCTCCAACTATAGATGTACCCCGATCATAGGACCAAGGGAGCTAGACAGGTCGGGATGAAGGTCCTGAAGCAAGGCAGGTTCAGCTGCCCAGCGGAAGCGCCACCACTCTGTGCCATCGGCTAGGAGACCCGCTAATTCTTAAAGGGAGAAAGCGGCCCAGTCAGAACGCCATAAGGCTACCTGGAGTCCTGGACCGTGTGAGCCTCGATTCGTGCCTCGATTCTCTAGCAGAGTCTCGGGGGCGGGGAACTTGCGGAAAATCGAGCCAAGCGAACGAGACCCAACACGATGGTTGAGACTGTTCGATTCGAATTACCCCTGTCAATGGCGCCGCGAAGGACCCGGCAAAGTTACGACCAGTCGACTACTTTGGGATCCATGAAGCCGTGTCTCGTGATCTCCTTATCGCCTCTTTGCTCGCCTTTCCTGCCTTTGCATGGCTTGGTCATTTAAGGGTCCTTTCACTGTGTTGTGTTGCCGTGCATCTCAGCTGCGCCTTGACTACCGATCGACTGTTGGCGCAGATCCAGTTCTAGGTCTTAGGCTAATAATTTGCGATTAAGGGTGCATGGAACCCGGTGGAGGTCGAGACTCTTTGCACTCTGGACTAGTCCTCAGCTCGCCATTTCCCCATCCACGAGGAACTTGCCCGACTATTGATTAATTACAATAATCACAATAAATCGATGTGGATATATGCACCGACAATTGTGTTTGTGGTGGTAAGTGTGAGGCTCCCGCGCCGCCCCAATGTGGCGGTGAATGGGTCAGCCTGCTTCTGCAGGCACTGCAGGCACGTCTTCCATGCCAGATCTAGGTGATGTCTAGTTCCTGCTGTCGGGTATAAGCTCACCAGCTACAGCCAATGGCAGGCGCACTCATTCAGATGCATTCTGTCGATCGATCGGTTGTTCCTTTCAACTGGGTAGCCTTGACTGGTGCTCTCGCTTTATTTTTTTTATTTTTTTTTTTGCTACTTGGGCCACAATACCCTTGCTCACTTGGACAATTCAATGCTCGCCTTCCAAACTGATCTTATACCAGCTTACATCTTGCCGCTCGCGAGCAAACCTAAATCTAGCTGCCTACTACAGCGCAAAATAATTGGGTCACGAATCAATGATTACGTTACCGTATAGTCACGACAGGCGTTCCATATCCCCGGACAGATGAGACGAAACCATTATTGGAGATCTCTGTATTCTCCAATAGCTTCTCTGGCTAATGACTGGGCGTGGAAAACAGGCTTTCTACTGTGTTTATAAAGGAAGCAAGAACAGGACAAATACAAGGACAATGAAGAGAGAAATCTATAGTCTTGCAGTCGGCTGCATCTCTCCATCAGCACGTTCACGAAGCATCTTTCGCAGGATCTTCCCTGATGGATTCTTGGGGATGGCGTCGATGAACACCACTCCTCCGGTGATTCTTTTGAACGGCGAAACTTTGTCGTCCATGAATGACAAGATGTCTCTGTCGGTGGCGTTCTGTCCGGAGTTCAGCACGATATATGCTCGAGGGCGCTCATCGTCATTCCTATTTCAGAAGTTGTGTAAGCAATTCGCCTTTTTGATCTTGCTGTCAAAAGGTCGCCTCTCAACCACATACATCGGTACACCAATGACGGCAGCATCGGCCACTGCAGGATGGTCCAACAATATCGCCTCTAGCTCAGCTGGCGCGACTTGATTTCCCTTGACTTTGATCAGTTCCTAACGCAGGAGTGGCTGTTAGCATCGCAGATAGAGAGAGGCAACAAGACATGCAGGACCGGCGTGTCCGTTCGTGATCCGCCGCAGGTGGCGAGCAGGAAGACCGTCTGTCTCACTAGCTTACCTTTTTCCGGTCCACCACATGGAACAGACCTTGATCGTCCACGAAGGCAATATCGCCTGTCTTCAACCATCCATCTCCTGTCTTGGTTTCTTTGGTTGCTGCGGGATTCCTCCAGTAGCCTTTCATGATATTCTGCCCACGAACCCACAGCTCACCCCGCTGATTCGGTCCCAGCTCCGTCCGGTCATCGTCGGCCATGATCTTGGCTTCACAGTTCGCATTCAGCTCACCCACCGATGCTGGGTGTGTCTTCGTCGTGGGGTCCCAGCCCAACAGTGAACATGTCGTCCTAACGGCGAGCCCGACAGAGGTGTCTGTTAGCTGGTGGTCGTTCGCCACACGTTTGCCCTGCACATCCAGCACAGCAAGACTAGAACTCACTCGGTCATTCCCCAACCTTGACGGACCGTGATCCGGCCCGGCTCCCAGAGCTTCTCAACCTGCTCGCAGACCTCCGCGCCCAAGGGCGCCGCACCGCTGGCGACCCCCTCCACGCTACTCAGATCATACCTACCGCTGCGGACGGCCGGGTGCTTTGCCAACGCCACGACCACCGGGGGCACGAGGATGAGGTCCGTGATCCGGAACTTTTCCGTGTACTCGAGCATCTTCAGCATATCGAACTTGGGCATGATGTAGACGGGCACGCCGCGCCGCAGCGCCGCGGCGATGAAGATATTCTGCGCCATGGCATGGTACATGGGGAGGAAACAGAGCCAGCGCGCGCGCGCCAGCCGCTGCACCCAGTCCGGGTACAGGTAGAAGAGGAAATTATACTGCAGCAGATTGGCGACGTAGTTCTTGTGCGTGATCTCGACTCCCTTGGGTCGACCGGTCGTGCCGCTCGAGTAATTCAGCGCCAGCGTCTGCGCATCCGCCGCGCCGGGGTTCATCAGATCGTCCCACGCCCACCGACTCCCTTCCTCGACGGAGGCGATCAACTCGCCCCAGTAGCGATAATCCTGCCTCTCGTCCAGCTTGCTCTTGCTCTGCAGATGATCACATTCCTCAAAAACCGCACTGTCAAACACAAACACCCGATCCAACCCCAACCCCGCTCCCCGGGCAGCTTCCAGCCCGGTCTCCAGACTCCCCCGCGCACAGATCAAAAACGTCGCCCCGGAGTCCCGCAGCTGATACTCCAGCTCCCGCGCCACGAAGGTGGGGTTCGCCCCCGTGAAGATCCCGCCCGCCATGATAATCCCCATGAACACGACGGGGAAGAACAGGTCGTTCCCCGAGAACAAGAGCACGCGGTCCCCGCGCCGCAGCCCGGCGTGTCGGAGCCCCGCGGCGAGCCGTTGGCTCCAGAGGCGGAACGAGTGCTCCGTGAAGTAGTGGGTGTCCGGGCGGGCGGCGTCGAGGAAACATCGGTGGGTGTGGGAGAGCGGGTGGGTTGGGGAGGTGAAGAGGAGGGTGGCGAGGTGGCAGCTGGGGATGTCGATGGACCAGCGGGATTGGAAGGGCATTTTTGTGGAGGTGAAAGGTGCAGTGGGCAGTGAGGTTGAGAAGAAGAGGGTGATGGAAGTTATTGCATCCCAGTGGCTGGCTGGCTGGCTGGCATACAATTGATAGGATAGGATAAGATGCTTGCTGGGGTTTGGGGGTACATCGGTGTAATGTGTACAACCAAAGCTTTATAGAATATCGTATGTAGTCAAGACCGCTGGATAAAGCAGTCGCAGATGTACAGTACAGTGCTTGCACCCAAGGAACCTCACATCCACAAATAATAAAGGGAACCACGAGTCATGCAAAAGGGATAGATGGGATACTATGGAAAGATATAAATATGCCAATCTACTCAGTCCAGTCCAGTCTAGTCCAGTCCATCATCCAAACCAAATCAATTTCCAGTTTTGATCAGTCAATCCGTCAATCAATCAATCAATCAATCAATCAATCAATCAATCAATCAATCAATCAATCCGCCAGTTTAGTCCAAATGCCCACGCCGAAGGGAAGAGAGGGAAGAGGGGAGAGGAGGGGGGAAGCACAGGCCGGCCCAACACCGCGGGCGGCGGCGGCGGCGGCGGCGGCGGCCCCCATCCATCCATCCATCATCCATCCATCTATCGTGCATGCGTGCCATGCCATGGCCATGCATAGTAACGTTATGATCCGCTGGTCGTTCTCTCCCCTCTCCTCCCCCCTAACCCATTATTCTGGTTGTTCACGCATACCGGCTCAGTCAAAGCCCTGCTATACGAGCACCACCTAGCAGGGGACGCTCTTATGCAGCGGTGAATATGTATAAGATAGATCACTGCCCACTTCCTCCGGAACGAATCCAATAACTACCTTACTCCAATGGAAACCGGCAGTAGCAGTGAGCAGGGGTTTTCCCGGCCCCAATCGACACGCCGACACGCCGACACGCAACCCCCCCCCTCGTAAAACCCATCACACCGGGATCAACCCAGGTTGATCCCTGGCTGATTGGATACCTGGACAATAGGTTAAATCCCGGGGTTTGCGGGAAAGAGGCAGTTGCTGCGGATGGATTGATTGGACAGTTCCAACTCGTGCAGTGAGCGTGCATGTCGGCTCGGCTTTTCCGCTTTCCCTGTCGCTTTCGCTCGCTCTGCTCTCTCTTTTACTGCGTGGGTGCTCCGTAGGTGGTCTAGGTGGTGTTGACACACGCACGCGCGCACACGCACACACTCCCCGCATTCTGGCTCGGGTGCTCGGTTAGCTTCTTTGGGTTGGAGGGGGCCGAGGTTCTTCTTTTTGGGGGTTGGGGGTGGATGGATGGCGTGGTTGTTGATTGATTGATTGATTTGATGGGAGGGGATGGTGGAGTGGTTGCGGGGGATCGGCATCAGATGGGGACAATCGATCATGGACTGGACTGACTGCTTGCTCCCTACTCCGTAGAGTGCCACTATCTGGCACAGTGGGACTCAGGGAAAGCAAACGTTCTTTCATGGTTGGATTATTGTGTCTGGGTAGAGTGGGTGGGTGGTTTGGGAGGGAGACGAAGTTGCATACTGTACAGTACAGTACTTGCCTCTGTGCATACCACTCATACAACAAGTGAACTACAACCTAGCCACAGTACAGTACTGTACATTTCTGATCCGAATACTACCTGGAAAGACAATAGCAGACCCCCTATGCAATGGATTTCTTCCTAAACAAAAATGTATCCCCTTGAATTCGCTTCACCAGATGGAAAATAATAAAAGGTCATAAGTACGACATATAGAACAGTCCTCACAGAAGGGAGCACAAAAATCTTTGTCTGGTTTGGGATTCTAAACGAAAGCCATTCTTCAGGGGGGGAAAAAGCTCACGCCTCATCCCCACCAAGGCATACCAACGTTGCCTTCAGCTCACTCGTGATCTTCTCCTCCAGCCGGTTCTCTGCCCCAAAGGCGGCATCGACCGGTTTCTGACGCGCCAGCTCCAGCTCCTTGTCACTGGTGGCCACGATCCGCGCCCGAAGGCTCTGCTTGCGCTCCAGCAGCTCCTGGATGTCCTCCTTGACTTGTGCCTTGTCCCATTTCAGTTCCTGGATCGCCTGGGCGTCCACGCCGATGCTAGCGCCGGCTTGACGGAACCGAGTCAGGATGAACGAGATCAGCGCGAGGGAGTACGCTTCCGAGACCATGCTGAGAGTGAGTCGCCGGGTGGAAGCGACCCCGGAAGCGCTGACCGCGCGCGTTGCGGCGAACGATTCGGCCGAGCGGGTCAATTGGCCTTCGAACTGGTTGAGAAACCCGGCCACCTCCGGCGCCGTGCGCATCACATGGTAGAGGAGGTTCAGGCACAGGGGAAGGATGCCACCGGTCCAGATGGAATAGAGTCGGGGCACTGGGTCGAATGGGCCGAATCCCTTGCTCTGGCGCATGAAGGTCGAGAGTCGGCTCGTGGAGATCCGTGCGAGGACCGCCTCAACGGCTAGGTGCTCGGCTAGCATGGGGATGGTGGACAGCTTGACCAGCAAGGACATGCTCAGCTCGCCGTACACAGGGTCGCCAGCCACAGTCCGCTGATCAGCCCATGAGAACAACGATGTTGCAAGTCGTGCTGTGTCGTTATCGGCAATGTGGTAGACGATGTGTTCAAACGAGCGATCGACGTTCTTGACCTGCAAGGCACTCTGCAAAATCGCGGTGAGGAGCGCAAAGTCCTTGGGCGTACATTTTTCGGGTTGCTCGTGGAGATAAGTCACTAAGGACTTGAAGCCTTGCGCAACAACAACCTTGACAACTTCAACCACGACTCCCAGGTCAGAGGAGACTTCCGCCTTCTTAGTCAAAGTTTCCGGTGCGGCCCGAGCAGGGGTATCGAGGTGGAACTGCAGTGCAAGGAAGAGGACGTTCAACAATAGGCGGTAATACTCCGTGTCGTCATTGATGATAGCTTCTTCGTAAGAAGTACGGCGAGATCGCAATGCATCCCATACGACCTTGAGAAGACCGAACACCTCGGCTCCCTTGGCGCCAACGGTAACCAGGCGTTGAAGCAGGGCCTGGGCAAACTCCGCTCGGGTTTGCTGTATGCGTTCAAAGATGGCCTCCTGAGGAACGCCTCTCGTGTTGGCTTCCAGGCAGCTCTGTACGACCAGGGCCATCGACTTCTGCACTTCGCGATCCGCCATGAAGTCCTCGCAATGCTCGATGGCAAAGAACTTCCAGCTGTAGAGAAGACTCTGCAAAGGTTTCCGGTTAGCAAACTTTCTTCCTTCATGAAATTAGAGGAGCACAAACCACTTGCGCCTCAACCAGTGACAAGTTGAGGTTGGCGCGCTGGAACTCCTCGGCAAACCCTTGGTTCCGAGTCCCTGTCCAGGCAAAGTCGTATGAGAGAAGCTTCTGGCCTAATTCAACATCATAGAAGTAAGCTGGTCCCAGAGATCGGGTTTGCAGCGGGGACCTCTTGAAGTCGGCGAGTTTGCACCCAGGGTATCTCATTTCGAAGTTCTTCTTGAGATTCGCATGTAGCGAGGCGTTGTACGCAGATACGTCCACCGCATCTTTGGAGAACCAAGATACAAGGGGTATCATGGTCTTGTAGAAGCCCTTATCTTGCATGTCCTTCGCCGCATGCAGATAGACGCCGCAGAGATCCGCGACCACGGCCGCTATCCGAGTAGCGAACACCTGGTCGGTCGCCGACAGAGACGAGATCTTCAACTTCGAGACATAGTTGACAATACTGGTGAAGAATTGTGGGTGTTTCTTGAGCTCGGGTGTTGCCCATGGCCAATTCTCCTGCGCATGCGAAACAAAAGCCAGTAGCGAAAGTGCTAATTGAAGGTCAGTCTGCTCTATCCTCGCAAGAGTGTCAAGAGCGATCTGCAAGAAAGGAGCTCCTCTCATAGCAACCTCCTTCTGCTTGTCATCCTTCTTCAGCGATTGGCGCGGCGACGTCCCCGTTAGTATGTAAACAGCAAGCCATGGTTGACGCTTGCTTATGATGGTAGACAGGAATTGCCAGATTGCCAATTGGAGGCGCTGGTCATTGAGAGGTTTATCGAATTGTGATATAATGTCGAGAAAGAGGCAGGCTGACTCGGGACCAAGGTGACCAACCAGGGATGGTGGTTCCTTCGCGGGATCCGAAGCGGCGCCCGATATGAGGATCTCTAAGATTGAGATGATCGGGAAACGATAGGCGTCATCCAAAGCATACAACTTCACCAGAGCAGGGGTAGCCTTGAAAAGCTGCTCTTCGAGAAGCGATGGGGTAAGATTCAGGCACCGTGCTGCCTGCAACAGCCTGAGGGAAAGATCTAATGTCGCTAGCACCTGCTTCTGAATGAGCGCCAAGTAACGAAGGTGTAGAGTAGAAGGAGCCTGTAACCCATCGATAATCAGGCGTAAAATGCAGTTGAACGGCAGCTCAGCAGTCGCCTCAGGACGCATCACCTCCAGCAAGAATGTTGCGGAGGATGAGAAGACACCAGTAGCCTTCAAGTCCAGTTTTTCATCCTCGTTTGTTCCGTATGCGTAATAGAGGATACGTTCGAATGTCCTGGCAAGCGAGGTGTTTACCGCAAACCTTTGCTCGATCGCATTGAATCTCCAGTTTCCATTACTGTTGTAGGCGTCGACCATTGTCCGCACAAAGTTAAGTAGAATGCCGCGCATCATATGTGAAGGAACGCCCGCGGTCCAGTCTGCAGCATTCATTGTCTTTCCATTGACGCCATTGGGATTCCGTCTCAAGACGGCGCGAGAGGCTGCATCGTCGACAACAGCATCAAACAACCGTACACAGCCCAACAGGAAAGGGTAGTTTCCCGTTGTTACCTCCGCAGCAGATATGATGGTCGTCATAACGCCACCTTTTCCGTCGGTGCCCAGTAAGCCACTACGGGAGAGGAATGGCCAGACTCTGCCTGGGAGAACCTCTAACAGGGCATGAATGAACCGTAAACAGGAAATTGTGCTCTCAAGTACAGTATCCAAGCCTGTTCTTGAGCCAACAAGTGGAAGGTTCCGTTCGAAAATCTCAAATATCAAGGATATGATATCGCCCTGGTGAGAAAGACCATCACTCGCCAGTTCTAGGATTCGCTTGGCGCCAGACCTATCTCCATTCTGTGCCTGCGCATCCTTAGCAGCTACCATGAGGTCGGCAAGAAGTCCGATGGAATCCGCAACGGAATTATCCCCATAGCCTGCTGCGAAACCACCTTGCTCATTCCATTCTTCCAACCAGCTTCCGAGATAGCTCAAACAGGAGTAGTCGTGATGCCACGCGATGACTGCAGGCCTCGACTCAGAGATGACCTGGCCAACTGCCGTTGATGGAATCTGGGAAGAGGCGGTGACAACCAAAGCATTGCCCATATCACGGCTGCCGATCCACCTCCGAGGAGTGGACGACACCATCGGCAACGGCTCGACGAGGGTGACAAAGTTCGCGTTCTCATCCTCTCTCACTGTTTGATAACCGTGGAAACCATCGGGTACGGCTTGAGTAAATGACCCCATGTTCTCCAGCTCCGCGACAATCAAGGGAAGGCCTTCCTCATCGACCAGATCTTTGCTCACAAGAGCACGGCACAGCTTCAGGAAAGGTACTGTTTCATATGGGAATCGCGAGCGTGCGAGCCGGAAGATTTTGTCCATCAAACGATCCTCCTTGACGAACCGTAGCCGTGGATCTGTGGAGAGAGGCGGTTGTGAGTCTGAAAGCCACTGAGGGTCTGCTGCAGGCCCATCAAGGATCGCCAGGACGGCTTCAAGAATCTCCGGAGAATAGTCCAAGAAGACCACTGCAGCCCCAAGAAAGTCTAGCAACACCACTCTGATCCAATTGCCTGTTAGTTGATCATCGACCGCGGATGTCAACCCGACTTTAGTCGCCAATGCGACGATCGTGTCGAAGACAACTTCCTTCATGACATCTGAGGTCAAAGCATTAATGGAATCATCGATAGTGAAGTTCAATGTCCGTGCGCGATCAAGTAAATCCTCATACAGAGAAGACTCGGATGACCGGCCAACATTTGAGTCGGGTGTATTGGACTGAAAGGAATCAACCGCACTATGAAACTGCTCTAGCTCGCGGGTCTCCCTGTCTTCGAATGCGAGTTCTCGCATGGTGTGTAAAATCATGCCCCACGCGAATGCGGCCGGATTAGCAGTCTTACATTCAATTCCTTCAGAGAGGAACATTTCGTGGATTTGGCCGAGCTCCTCCTTGCCCAAGAAATAAGGAGTTTTAGACGATTCGGGGTTCTTGCCCTTCGTGAACGTCCTGTTCATGAGTGAAGGAATCGACAACTGGAGCTTAAGAAGTGCTATAGTGGTTAGAGAGACAAAGCCCTGAAGAGGCACCAACACTTCCAGGGGATCCTGGCATGGCTTCAACCAGTCAGTACATGTCTGATTTCTGAGGCGCGCAAAGAAACTCACGATGACAAGGGGCTCTAAAAAGCTATACTCAACCATCAGCTTGAGCCAAGAGAGCACGAGCTTGGCGGATGGAATCTCCGTGGAGGCCTGGAGTTGGTAAAATAATATCTGCACGATATGAAGGATTTCCTCAACGAGAGTCGTTGTCCGCAAGTCTTCCACTTGCTGGCTACTCTCCGTGACGCTCAGCCACCCACCATCTTCCGCCAGAGACGTCAGTCGACTGCGAACAGCTTCAATACAGCTTTCACTGAATGCGTGCCAGTTTCCTCCTTTGAGTTTGTCTTCGAAAATCTTGGCGCCTAACCGGCACAAATCGCTTCGCTGGGTGGTGCCGACCTCGACTTTGCTGAGATGGAAAAAGCCTAGAAGTTTGCGGGATGTCTTGATAACGTGGCTTCGTTCGGAGAGATAGAGACTACGCAGCCGCAAGCGCCTACTTTTCTCTGAAAGAAAGTCGGCAGAATCATCATTCGTCAGGATCTTGCGATTGAGAATTTCCGCAAGAGCAGGACCTGCGAGGGACGCGCGCAGATTGTCGGCCCCTGTTGCACTTTGTAAACTTGTTGTTTCCTCTCCGGCGAAGCGAGTCAAGAGGCGTGTAGCAGGTCGGTGTTGCCATTCCAACACGGTGATCCGAAGCGCGCTGATTTCGTCGATCCCAGCTTTCTCACTGAGCCAGAGAGCGTCCGCTTTGATCTCCTTGAGGTCGTACGACGACTGCGCATTAGTCTCGGCATGAATGGCTGCTGTTTTAGATTCGAAGTCCGTCTTAGATTTCGGCGATGGGGAAGGGAACCCGTTCAAGCAATTCGAGAGGATCTGGACGCTGTCGGGATGCGATAGAAAGGCATGTAATTGCTCCGCATCGTCATCTATGCTGGCATGATTGCATGTGTATAGGAAGGCTTGCTTCCAGGACCTAAGCGCGCAAGCAGGATTAGTATCTGCTGTCATGTCAGATGTGTTCAATGTTGAAGGCGCGTACAGAAGCTGAACGTCCCCGGAGAAGCACTTGTCCAGGGACGGGAAGAAGGCTTCCGGGAGGGGAGCCATTGGCGGGACAACTATATCATTATAGGATTCAAACAGGCAAGGGAAAGAAAAGACGCCGTCCGATCGAGTCAAGGGAGAAAGACACGGGGATGGACAGAGCAACGGGGAGGGACAAACACAGAGCTCAACAGCTCACGACGGGAATCTCCAGAATATTCAGGTTCAACCCGAACGGAGTCTAGCCTGCAAGGTCAACAATGATTGCCTATCTGGGTCTAGTCAAGGGCGGTGAGAGGGATTTTTGCAACAACTGATTTGAGTTTGCATGGTTTGAACCCACTAATCCTAAACGGGATAAGCAGCCCGATCCACCCATTCCCGCTGGCGGCGGCGGCGGCGGCGGCGGCATTTGTTGGACTGAGTCAATGGAGGGGATGTGCGATTGCTTGCGGTTACACAACAACTCACTTCGTTCTCTCTCGCAACACTGCTCGGAGGGTTTCGTCAACTCTGGGAGGTGAGTTGGTCCTAGATCTCTCTCTGGTCTTCCTTCCTCTGTATAGTCTTCATTTGATCTTTCCATTCATTCTAATCTGTCTTTCACTCTCTCTCAATTCAGATATAGCAAACATGGCGAGCTCCGATCTCGTTGATCATTCCCCCCACCATCCTACCCAGGCTGCCCAACTCAACAGCGCGTCGAATGTCATCCTTATCGACAACTATGACTCCTTCACTTGGAATGTCTATCAGTACCTGGTTCTCGAAGGTGCCACTGTGAATGTCTACCGTAACGATCAAATCACTATCGAGGAACTTATCGCCAAAAACCCGACGCAGCTCGTGATCAGCCCGGGTCCTGGCCACCCCGAGACCGATGCCGGTATAAGTATTGCTGCAATCAAGCACTTCGGCGGCAAGATCCCCATTTTCGGAGTGTGCATGGGCCAGCAATGTATGATCACTTGCTTTGGAGGAAAGGTCGACGTTACCGGCGAGATTTTGCATGGCAAGACATCCCCTTTGAAGCACGATGGCAAAGGCTGCTACGAAGGGTTGCCTGCTAAGCTCGATGTCACCCGGTACCACTCTCTGGCTGGAACTCATTCGACTGTTCCTGACTGCCTGGAGGTCTCCTCTTACGTGCATCTGGCCAACGACAATGCCAACGACAAGACCATCATCATGGGCGTGCGACACAAGCAATTCGCTATCGAGGGTGTCCAGTTCCACCCTGAAAGTATTCTCACGGAGAATGGACGGACTATGTTCAGAAATTTCCTGAAGCTTACAGCAGGCACCTGGGAAGGAAATGGGAAGCACTTCAATGAGCACAAGACCGTGGTTTCCTCTGCGCCTTCGGCTGCCGCCCCGAAGACCGATAAGAAGAAGTCTATCCTTGACAAGATCTATGACCACCGCAAAGCTGCCGTGGCTGTGCAGAAGACTATTCCTTCGCAGCGGCCAACCGACTTGCAAGCTGCTTACGACCTCAACCTTGCCCCCCCTCAGGTGTCCTTCCCCGACCGCCTTAGAAAATCCCCTTATCATCTGTCCCTCATGGCGGAGATTAAGCGGGCTTCTCCTTCCAAAGGCATGATTGCCGAGCATGCATGTGCGCCAGCCCAGGCTCGGCAATACGCGAAGGCTGGAGCCAGTGTCATCTCCGTCCTTACCGAGCCTGAATGGTTCAAGGGCAGCATTGATGACTTGCGCGCTGTTCGTCAAAGCCTGGAAGGCTTCACCAACAGGCCTGCTATCCTTCGCAAAGAATTTGTCTTTGACGAATACCAGATTTTGGAAGCGCGATTGGCTGGTGCTGATACAGTTTTGCTTATTGTGAAGATGCTCAGTACCGAGCTTCTTACAAAACTGTACAAATATTCCCGCAGTCTCGGAATGGAGCCACTGGTTGAAGTCAACAACCCGGAGGAGATGAAGATTGCAGTGGATTTGGGAGCGCAGGTCATTGGTGTCAACAACCGTGACCTGACTAGCTTTGAGGTCGATCTCGGAACCACAAGCCGACTGATGGACCAAGTTCCTTCCAGTACCATTGTCTGCGCGCTGAGTGGCATTTCTGGGCCTAAAGACGTGGAAGCTTACAAGAAAGACGGCGTCAAAGCGATCCTGGTCGGTGAGGCTTTGATGCGAGCGGCGGACACGTCTGCATTTGTTGCAGAATTGCTCGGTGGCAGTGATAAGAGCGTTGAGACTAAGATCCAGAGCTCTCCACTTGTGAAGATCTGTGGCACACGATCTGAGGAAGCGGCAAAGGCCGCCATCGAGGCTGGCGCTGATCTAATCGGTATTATTATGGTACAAGGAAGGAAACGACTTGTTCCGGATGACGTTGCATTGCGGATCTCACAGGTTGTCAAGACCACACCTAAGCCCGCCAGCCCGTCCAGCCAAATACCTGACGCAGCAGCTGTGGACTACTTTGATCACTCTGCCTCGATTTTGCGTCATCCCAATCGGGCTCTGCTCGTGGGTGTATTCCAAAACCAGCCATTAGAGTACATCTTGTCTCAGCAACAGAAGCTCGAACTTGATGTCGTTCAATTGCACGGCTCTGAGCCGCTCGAGTGGGCTAGGTCGATTCCCGTCCCTGTCATTCGCAAATTTGGTCTCGACGAGCCCGCAATTGCCCGGAGATCTTACCACACGTTGCCCCTACTAGACTCTGGAGCTGGTGGATCTGGTGAGCTCTTGGATCAATTACGTGTCGAGCGAGTTTTGGAGAGCGACAGCGGTCTACGTGTCATTCTTGCTGGAGGTTTGGATCCTACAAATGTCGTTGAGACGATCCAAAGGCTCGGCAAGTCCAGCGCTAAGGTGGTGGGCGTGGACGTCAGTTCTGGCGTCGAGTCCGACGGCGCACAAGATCTGGAAAAGATCCGCGCCTTTGTTAAGGCTGTCAAGAGCCTTCATGCATGATCTGGTGTCTGGCTTTTACAATACATTCATACTATGAGTTAACCAATTGGGTCACATCAATCTCAGTCTTACTTCCGGTTCATTTCAATTCGTATACTCTAAGGAATAGGACACCAGGGTGTTCTGGTTATGATTAAATATACTCACATAGCTGTCACCTCATAGCAGTTTATTCTTAAATGAACTATTCACCTTTTGTCACTCTCTTTCTATTACATGGAATGGAAAAGGGCAAGCTTTGACTTGGGTTGAATATACGTGCTTACCCCTACTCTATATCCATGTTAATAGATTATTTATCTTCTTCACATGCATACATCACCATCTTGTGAGGTTTGTCTCAGTCTTCGGGTTCTGACAATATCCTCTCGGGCCTTAGCCACCTCGTAATTGCCTGATGGTCGAACTTAGGGCAAACCATACCCAGGTCTCTACTCATATATTCTTGATTTATCTCTACCTCCCACTTCAATATCCTACCCATTGATCTCCTGGTTGACATTTCTCCTCTTCTTTCTCCTCATTCACTTATACTTCTCTGCTTTCAAATCACCAGAGAGCCAACATAACTTCACTCTGCTATCTCCTTCATGTTCCTGCCTCTGATGCACTGAACCCTCCCATCCTAACTCCCTCCACCCACTACACCCCAAACAGCCCGAAATCATGGGCAAGACATTCCACAAGATCCACGCCAGCTCGGCAGGCAAATTCCCCAAAGACGGAGACAAAATCCCGCAATGGATCCGCGCCAACGGAGGCGAATACCATTCGGCTATCACCCCGCAAGTGACTCATCTCATCACGACTCTCGAGGCGTATAAGAAGAATATCGCGCCAGGTACAGTGCACTTCTTGCTCTTAGCACTTAACGCAACTGCTGTCTCTAATGTTTGACCAGTCCGCGAAGCCAAGGCGCTGAAAAACATCAAGATCGTCACCTTCGACTGGCTGGAAGATTCCTTGCTCGGCAGGGGCAAGAAGCCAAAACGGGTGACCGAATACCTCCTGGAAACGATTGTAAAGGACGAGGAGAAACGGAAAAAGAAACCAGCTCGAGAGGCGTCTCGGACCACGAAGCCGGTAGACGCTGCAGCGGCCACAACGCGGAAGGCTGGTGCCGCGAAGAAACCCGCAGGTATGCCCTCATCTTTTTCCCTCGCGAGTCGTCATCTTGTTCCAAGCCACTGATGGTGAGATAGGAAGGATCAAGAATCCAGACCCTTTCGGAAAGGCGACGGCCAAATTCAAGGCTGGAACCGCTGCGGGTAGGTGGAATATACTATATATCATCGTCAGGTGATAGACAGACGGATGTCAAGATAGAAGCCTTTTAGGGTACTAACGCTCGACTGGACTCACAGCTAAGTATTGCATCTACGTGGGCGAAACAACAGGGATCAAGTACGATATCCCTCTGGTGCGGTTCATGGCCTGTAGAAGGTCGAGAGAGAAGATCCGTCTCAAGGTCAGTCGGTCTATCTACGAGTCTTCAGCCATCTTTTGTTACCACCATGAGAATCGCTTTATCAACAATGAGATTCGCGAGCAAAGAAGCTGAGAATGTGTTACCCTACCTGCTTTAGGTATACGAATCCAAGGCCGAGCCACACGTTTACGCTACGCGCATGGAATACAGTCGCACCGGAGCAGCTTGTGCCCAGATGTTGACACCTCTGGGAACTAGTTTGAAGATAGCTATGGATGCATTTGAGGCAAAGTTCATGAGTAAGACCGGAGTAGCCTGGGCTGATCGCTCGAATGGGGTTGCGCCTCCTCCGAAGATGGACAAGGAAGGCAATCCGCTGCCTGCGGACAAGGGGTGGTATTTCTTCGAAGACGGCCAGAGCATATTATCCCAGTACCTTCATTCTCATACTGCTGTCGAAGACCAGGGGCATGAAGTCGAAACAGCAGGTGGGGCCAGCTTGGTTTGATAGACGCAAGGCATTGCTCTGGGCACTGGAAATCGAGCAGAAGTTAATGGTCGCAGGCGTTGACTATAGTCTGAATACCACTGGAGAGCTTACTCCCGGCTTGGTCAACTCAGTTCTAGGTGGTGCTAGATGCAATGGGGAGAAGCGGTGCGCTGGGGTTTGGTTGCAGAATAGGTGATCATATTGCAATTTGCCCTAAAAAGGCACCCATGTAACTACAGTTATATATGCTGCCGAATCAGTGAGCGCCTCACCGAATTAATAAACTGGGCCAAAAAAAAAAGATGATGAAGATGATTTATGTTCTTTCAGATGGGTATACAAATAGCGACCTAAAATGCCAACGGTGCGAACATACGACCAGGAAGCTCCTTCTAACACCTCTTTGCGCCAAATCAAACTTTTCCTGTAGCCTTTCGTGCTTGACAGCGAAAATGCTAGCTGACCGATCCTCATGCTCACAGATAATCCTTCTTCTTGCTTGTCCTCGTGTATTGCGTGAGGGCCCATTCCACATCACCGCTAGATCCCTTCTCCAGGGAGCCTCCACGGATCTCGAACAGCCTCATGGTCATGCGAGGGCCGACTTCCGCCAGCTCCACATCCCGATATCCGGTCTTGACGAAGACGTGGTGTCGCACCTCGATACTGTCCTCCTTGTTCACGAAGCTGACGACCCGATTGCCAACCTTGCCATCCTCGCGGGGCGGGAACAGGTGCTTCAGGATTTGCACCACACGGAGACCCAGCTTGGTTGTGAACCCCTCGAAGACGAGATGGGGGTAGCTCTCGGAGACGGTTCCGCGAGCCGCGTCGGGGATATCGGCACGGAGAACGACATTGTGAAGGGAGAAGCTGGCCGTGGGGCCGTGTGGCAGGTGGGAAATGGTCATTGCCGTAGGCGTACCACGGTGTTCGTGCAGGAGGATCATGTCGGTCAGCGCTGCGGCGGTCGCGCTCGAGACGAGATCGGGCAGGACGAGATTACCACGGTTCAGACGGATCGCGGTGGGCAGAAGCAGACGGATTTCTTTGGCGAAGGTACCGAGGCGGACAGAAGGGCTGCGAGAAGTTGTGACAATAGGGCGAGGGTCGGCGATACCCGAGGTGAGCGCATATTCGTCGTCCAAGTCCACCTTGTCGGCGTCCTTGCCTGCACTGTCTAGCGATTCATCGTATTTGAAGTCTTCGCGCAGGGATTTGTCATTGGCGATAGAGGGGTCGAGGGGTTTGCCGGAGGCCAGCGACGCCTTCAGTTGAGCTCGCTTTTCGGCGATAGAGGCATCGCGGAGGGTTAGAGCTCTCCGGTAGAGATAATCTCGTCGCTCACGGGCTTGACGGCGCTGGAGGTGAAGTATGTCAGTATACTCGATACGAAGTCGCAAGTAACTCAGCAGCTCGAAAAAGAGCACAAACGTACCAACATCTTGGGTGTCCAGCCTGTATTTGGATTCTGATACAAAGATCGGATAAGTTATCGAATGATCGAATGCGGCATGCCGCCCATCTTTTTTTCTTTCCTAAATTGCCGCTGTGGTCCGCCTTGGCCACCGGACTGTGGAATTTGGCGGCAAACAATCGCCGATAACTTGATCGAGCCCGATCGCATACCACCCGCCACTTAGTTCTCCGCGTGACAACCTTACGCCTGGTCTAAGAGGGCAAGCCGATACACCTCCCTGTCAAGTAAACTCAGTGGCGGCAGGAACTCGCTGTGACTGAAGGTTTGACTCCCCTGTGTTATGCGCAAGTGAATTCCGCTTCGCTGAAGACCACTGCACCTCTTCTCTTCTCACTTCCCTCTCTTTTGCCCCTCTACCGTGACACACACTGACAAGTTGGGACTCGAGATTATTAAGAACAAGCTGACTCGCGGACTTTTGTAGTGCCACAGACGACGGGCTTGTCCGCTGCACTCATTTAATCCCTACGACCCGCCGTTCTTGTATCACCTTCCGAACTGCGGCGGCCGAGGTATCTTTCGCTTCTTATACCTTTGCTATCCTGCGCCCACACATATCACTGCGTCTACGACCTCTGTCAGCGATTCTTAACACCAAACGCCAGCTATGGCTGCACCGGTCGATGAGAGGATTGCTGCAGACCTCGATGAGTCTCATCAATTCCGTCCCCGGAGACATGATGACGACGACGAGGGTTCCGACCACCTAGGAGATGATGATGCTGAAAGCACCGCCAGTGCTACTGTCGCGGAGCGTAAGAACAACGAAGGACACTTCGATGAGGAGAAAGAGCTTCCACCGCATGCGTGCTCGTACGTATCTTAAAAGACCGCCCCTCATAGCTCCCCTCTTTGCTAATATGAGCTTGCAGGTATTGCGGTATTCACAATCCGAGCAGCGTCGTGAAGTGCCTGGCTTGCAGCAAATGGTTCTGCAGTGCTCGGGGTAACACATCATCTTCTCACATTGTCAATCATCTCGTTCGGGCTCGTCATAAGGAGGTCCAGTTGCACCCCGCCTCATCGCTCGGCGATACCATCCTCGAGTGTTACAACTGCGGCACCAAGAATGTTTTCCTCCTCGGTTTCATTCCAGCCAAGTCCGACACCGTTGTTGTCCTGTTGTGCCGTCAGCCATGTGCCGCCATGCCTTCCTCCAAAGATATGAACTGGGATACCTCTCGGTGGCAGCCTTTGATCGAAGATCGCTCGTTTCTTCCCTGGCTTGTGGCTGCTCCATCCGACCAGGAGCAGCTTCGCGCACGCCACCTTAGCCCGCAGTTGATTGCTAAATTGGAAGAAATGTGGAAGGAAAACTCTCAGGCGACCTTCTCGGATTTGGAAAAAGCCACAGCCGTGGACGATGAGCCTGCACCTGTTCTATTGCGTTACGACGATGCTTTCCAGTATCAGAATATCTTCGGACCGCTAGTCAAAATAGAAGCAGACTACGACCGGAAACTGAAGGAGTCTCAGTCTCAGGATGGATTGATTGTGCGCTGGGACCTCGGTCTTAACAACAAACACCTAGCCAGTTTTATCTTGCCCAAACTCGAACTCGGTGATGTGAAATTGGCTGTCGGTGATGAGATGCGCTTGAAGTATAGCGGTGAATTGCGCCCGAAGTGGGAAGGTGTCGGATATGTCATCAAGATCCCGAACAACCAGTCTGATGAAGTGACTATCGAACTGCGGGCCAAGGGTGACCACAAGTCTGTGCCTACCGAATGCACGCACAACTTCACGGCTGACTATGTTTGGAAATCTACCTCTTTTGATCGCATGCAGCTCGCTATGAAGACTTTTGCTGTCGATGAGATGAGTGTCTCTGGTTATATCTTTCACCGTCTCCTTGGACACGAAGTTGCAGCTGCGCCTATGAAGACCCAGATGCCCAAGAAGTTCAGTGTTCCGGGACTCCCAGAGCTCAACAACAGCCAGATCAATGCGGTTAAAAGCGTGCTTCAGAGGCCTTTGAGTCTTATTCAAGGACCCCCCGGAACGGGTAAAACCGTCACCTCGGCTACCATTATCTATCACCTTGCCAAGATTAACGGTGGTCAAGTCCTGGTTTGTGCGCCCTCGAACGTTGCTGTTGATCAGTTGTGTGAACGTATCCACAGAACTGGTCTCAAGACGGTCCGTGTGACTGCGAAGTCGCGAGAGGATGTTGAATCTCCAGTTGGTTTTCTTTCTCTGCACGAGCAGGTTCGCATCAACGACAGCAACATTGAACTTATCAAGCTCAACCAATTGAAGGCTGAGCTTGGCGAATTGTCCAGTCAGGACGAAAAGCGACTCAAGCAGCTCACGCGTTCCGCAGAACGAGAGATCCTCAACAATGCCGATGTCATCTGCTGTACCTGTGTCGGTGCTGGTGATCCACGTCTTTCCAAACTCAAGTTCCGCACTGTTTTGATTGACGAATCGACTCAATCTGCTGAGCCGGAGTGTATGATTCCTTTGGTTTTGGGCTGCAAGCAAGTCGTCCTTGTTGGTGATCATCAACAGCTGGGTCCTGTCATCATGAACAAGAAGGCTGCCAAGGCTGGTCTGAATCAATCGCTCTTTGAGCGTCTTGTTATCTTGGGATGTTCTCCTATCCGCTTGAACGTTCAATACCGCATGCACCCATGTCTTTCTGAGTTCCCTTCGAATATGTTTTACGAGGGTTCTTTGCAGAACGGTATCTCTCCTTTGGACCGTCTCCGCCGTGATGTTGACTTCCCTTGGCCCATCCTTGATAACCCTATGATGTTCTGGTCAAACCTGGGTAACGAAGAAATTTCGGCCTCCGGTACTTCCTATCTCAATCGCACTGAAGCGACAAACGTTGAGAAGATTGTCACTCGTTTCTTCAAGGCCGGAGTGCAGCCCCAGGACATCGGTATCATCACTCCCTACGAAGGCCAGCGTAGCTACATCGTCAGCTCCATGCAGGCCACTGGTACTTTCAAGAAAGAGCACTACAAGGAGATTGAGGTCGCATCCGTCGATGCTTTCCAGGGTCGTGAGAAGGATTTCATCATCCTTTCGTGTGTTCGTTCAAATGACCACCAAGGCATCGGTTTCTTGAGTGACCCCCGCCGTCTCAACGTCGCGCTCACTCGTGCTAAATACGGACTGGTGATTTTGGGAAATCCCAAGGTCCTGTCGAAGCATCCTTTGTGGAACTGCCTCTTGCAACACTTCAAGGAGCGACATTGTCTTGTTGAGGGGCCCTTGTCCAACCTGCAGGAATCCCTCATCCAATTCAGCCGCCCGAAGCAGGCATATCGTGGACCCCAGCGATTCCAGATGGCGTTTAATCATGCCTCCAACGTGACCAGTGGATTGATGACAGGGAAGAATGGCCACCGCAACGAATTCCATGATACTGGATCCGTTGTAGGATATATCCCCGATGATGTTTCTTCTGTTCATTCATCTGCTCTTGGTGGTGTGAGCATTCCTTCCGGCTACCCGCCTATGTTTCAGAACTTTGCCGACTCGTGGCCGGCCCTCCCAGGCGGTCGCCGGGCCAATGGGAACCGGATGAAGGGTGCCCCTAGTATTGCTGGAGAGTCCATCGCAGCCACCGAGTCTGATGTCACGGGCAGCATCATCGACGGAAAGACCGCCGATCAAGGGGGTGTCAGCCTTGCTGGTTTGAGTATCAACGACATGACCAAGCAGCCCAGTCTCAGCCAATCTGACCGTCTGAAGCGTTATGTGGAGTCTGGAGGACGTGAGCCTTACAAGCCTGGTGTTCCCGACAACGGCAGCATCTTTGGAGGCAGCTCGACTAGCATTCGTGTCACCCGGGGTGTTCCAGGGCACATGCACGACGACGATGATACTCGCAGCGTCTCGACTGCTTTTGCCAGCCAGATTGGGGGAAACTATGATTGATTGAAGAGGTCTTGGCAAGTTCAGAATCGGGAGCTGACCCTGAAGCTTCTACAGTCATCCCCACAGACTTCTGAACAGCCAGTCGCAGATTCGACTGGACTGGCTGTCCTCGGACAAGACTCGATGTCCTGGCGCTCCACATGGCCTTGGCGATATTCTCAAGGAAGGGGGATCCCCTGTGCTTTCTAGGGCAGCTTCAGTATAAGCAGACCCTCAACAATAGGAGACGATTGCGACATCCTCGTTCTCTTTTCGGCACTCTTGTCGGTAACGGATGGAAGTCTCGAGTTTCGAATTGCTGCTACCTGTCCACCGTAGCGAACATCGGTTCTCGTCACACTGTGGTGCAGTCCTACAAGACCCTACCCACGGTATGTGATAGGCGAGGGCTGTATGCAATATCTCGTACTATGTCTCATGAATATCATTGATAATAGTCGCTCGAAAGAGTCAGCGGTATGTCATGTCAATTTCTCCGCTCACCGCTGCGCTCGGGAGTTACGAGGCAACCAGCCAGGCCTACCATTATCGCGGACGAGGTGGATGAAGGTTTTTCAAAACCACCAATCCTAGTCCAACGTCTCTTGCTTTTCTTCCGCTACCATTGCTTTACATTGCTTATTGTCGTATTTCCAACCCAATCTAAAAAGAAAACTCATATGCGAACTGTGCCATTATCATGGCGTGCGAGGCTATGTCTGTTAGTTGAAGAGGTGATGTGCATACTAGCATAACACTTTGTATCGTAGCTTGGTTTCCATGATGCAGTCCGACCATTCTGATCCGGCACCTTCGATTCTTTGACTCAAACCAAGAACAGCATAGCCACATAGCGCCCTTGATCGGCGGAAGTAGGAACAAAAAACATAGTCGAGAAGTAGCAGAGCTCTGATAGGCATCCAAATTTCCAGCGTTCTTCCTTGCCAGCTGCTCAGCATCATAGGCTTATTGGTATACAATTGTCGAGGAGCTCTCATTATAGCTTGGATAGGCGTGCGCGTAATAGCTTCATATGTGAGGACAGGTCACGACGGCTCAGGTACGTGAAGTTGACAGAACAACAGTGTGAAGTAGGCACAAGCTACCCTCCGCACTGATCCACATAAGTTCGAAGGCAGAAGAGACATCCATATCTCACCTTGCGCAGCAATCCTTGCACAGTACAGAAGCTTTCGAGAAGACAGTCATCAGAGCCTCGTCGATCAACCTAAATATAACTACCCAGTGCTTTGAAGGCTTGTCCTGGCGACGGAGATAAGAGAAGGATCAATCTAATTCACTGAATCATGTAGAGACTACGATTATGATGGAGGTATTATCGATGAGTGGTGTTGATCGTGGCGGGACTGCGCCACTAATGGCGATCCATACAAGTAACTTAGGTATACGTATGTAATCCCGGACAGGGCCTAAGTCTGTCTATCTCTGCAGGCTCGATAGGCTCATAAAACCGAGATGCCTAATTTTCCTTGTCTGAGTAACAAGAACTATGAGAAGCCACTGAGAACGAACATGCAGATGACGCAACTCCTTGACAGCTTTTGTGGCCATGCCTTGGGAGAAGCATGAATGGCTGGTTTGATCGGCAATAGGTATATTCGATCGATTATACCCGATACCGGGCTACTGGACAGCCACAGCCACTTGCATAGACGATATACTTTCTTGTGCAGGAATCGAAGAAGAACAGGGAATTGTCTTGGGACAGGTGAGCAGCTTAGCTGACGAAAGTCCTGGATGTTTAATAACGCAGCTACATGATGTGCGTAGGGATGAGCTGTACTCCGTATTGCCGATGAATCTACCAATGTATGTAATGTGCAGTAAGTTGACTAGTACCCTGCGCGTCAAACAAATCAGCCAGGATAAGCCGCGCCACGACCCCTGCTTGTTTCCAAAGCATGGAGCGTAGCGTCTCAGGTGTCTATTGAGCCCTGTCTTTCAAGGTTGATTGGTGGATATGGTTTCTTCGAGTCTGGTGTGGAGCAGCGCTTAACGGTCTCTGTGCCTAATGGATGGAGTGGCTCGGGATTGGGCGAGAAAACGCAGTATGCTACTAGTAGGTATGTGCTCCGATGCCGCAGGAGGTTTGGGTACCTAAGGTAGTAGACTGCCTGGGTGAGAGATATAATTTCAAGCGAGATCTTGGCACAGTTGAGTTGAGTGAGAGAGACGGTGCAGAATGTATTGGGGAATGGTTTCCAGGTTCATCATCCTACTAGTAACTTATTGTCTGTTGGCAGGTAACAGTGGAGGGTTGAGCACTCCAGCGTTGGTTCAATCTATCGCCAGCCGAGGCGCCCTCGATATGTCGGAATTTCCTAAAATAGAAACCTGACTTCGCCACAGCAGTCAGGCAGTGTGGCTGAAGCATGACCTGCACGTGCCGTAGTGATTGCCAGGCAGCAATGAGGCACGCAAAATCTTTCTTGCCTGGTATGTGGCGGTTCGTACAGTAAACCAATGGTGACTACTCCGTAGCAGTACTGTAGTGAGGTGCGTACAGTAAGTACAACCAACACCTCAGCTTTGGCCTGGGTCGACCAGGAATGAACAGTTCGGGCTTATCCTGCCGATAAACCTCCCTTCCCCTCGCTTGGTTGCCTGATGTTGACTTTCTGCGTGACTCACTAGTCGCAGCCTAAACAATCGCTCAAAAGAGTTTGCCATCAAGATTTTTTGGGTGATTCGGCGCCTACCAATACAACTAACGCCAACCTATTGTGTACCATTGTCCGCGCCGGACAGATATAACGCGTCTCTGATCACACCACGTGTGCAAGGCATGTTGAGTTGATATTCCAAGTACCGGTCAGAATCAGTAAGCCAGAATAATCACAATAGCAATAATCATAATTGTCTACACTGTCTACATACATGAACCAACGTTTCGCCCTGGTTAGGTTGTGTTTGTTCTCCCATCCCATCCCATCCCGTTTTCTCGCTGTTCCAGTGGCGGTTTGCCAAGCCTCCAGCTGCTTAGTCACTCGATGCCTGGCTTAGTGTCCTAAAAATCCTGGCAATCCGCCCTTCCGAGTTAAGGAACCAACATCCATCCTCCAGCCAGTGCCACCCGGCTCAAACTAGGTCAAACCAACTCGATTTTATACCAACTTGCTTGTGCTTTCTTTTGCTACCCCTAGATTTTGTTACTTACTACATTCCTTTTTCTATTTGTTCGGTCATATAGACCTTGGTCTCGGAGTCTTTCGGTTCAAACTTTTTCGATTCCTCCTAGGGACATCTCCGCCCATCTCAATTGACGGCGGGGTTGGAACTACGCTATGGGTGACGGTTCTGATTATCCTAGCCCACGAAGTGAAGGTCCCGGCGGACCTACCTCAGTTTTAGTCGCTACCCAGGAACCGCTTGTCGCAGCACCCAAGATGAACGTGAACGAACAACTCCCACCCAATTTCATGGAAGGGGCGCGTCCGCGACTGTCGGTGAGGCGAGCGCGGGATCCGCCCAAGAACTCTGCAGGCCAAATCTACTGCGATCACCCGGAGTGCCAACAATCGCCTCCCACTTTTCGCCGTCCATGCGAGTGGAAGTAAGTTCTTCTCTTCTCCCCTTTCGAATTCTGTTGAAGGGCCGGAAATAGAATGCTAACAGGTCATTGTAACAGTAAGCACATGGACAAACATGACCGCCCCTACAAGTGCATGGAACCCGGGTGTGACAAGATCCAGGGATTCACATACTCAGGCGGTCTTTTGCGGCACCAGCGCGAGGTGCATAAGAAAAACATCAATGCCAAGAAACCACTGATGTGTCCCTACGTCGATTGCAATCGCAGTACAGGAAACGGGTTTACGCGTCAGGAGAACCTGAAGGAGCACCTCCGCCGTCGCCACATGCATACCGAGAATGGTCCCGCACCAGAACTACCGCCCATCCCGTCTCCGGATGATCTGGAAGACGCCGCAGCTCTTGGCGTGCCTCCTACCTTGAAGCGCAAGCGCAGTGCTATCGATGAGGATCCTACCTTGGATCTCTCCGAGGATGGTGGGAACGGCGTCACTCTCCGGAACGAGCTGAAGAGACTGCAGCTCGAGGTCCAGGAAAAGGATCGCCGGCTGGAAGAACTCGAAAGGATTGTCGCTGGCCTGCAGCAAGCTATACCGCAGACCGCGACCTCTCAAGGATAGATGCCCCCGAGGCAAAGACTCTCTACGATTTACATGTTTCTAACCCCCACCCCCCCAATCCTCTTTTCTCCATCTTGTCCGTGTCATTCTTTATCCCAGACACTTCCTTGATGCTTGAAATCTCTCTCTTTATTTATGGTCTGCACTATGTGGTTTGCATTCGATGGGCGTTTTCATATGCAGAGTACGGGCCCTGGGTTCGCGCGATTCTGTCTACAACATCAGTGGGAGGCTCGTTCATATGGTTGGTCTACATCTCAGAATGCATGGATAAAAAAATCAGGCAGCTCTGACGATATGGCGTTTGCTCGAGGTCGAAGATACAGACCAGGTGGTGTTCTAATGGTTCCTACTCTTTCTTTATTTCCTGAAATATACCCAGGCGTTTTTCAACCTAAGTTTCCTTTGTTACTCCCAGTCTATCCTCATGCTGTTGTCTCTACTCCGGTGCGTAGTTATTTTGTCCATGTTGGGATTTCAAAGGAGTCGCATTCGTTTATAATGCCTGTCATAATATCCTCAGACATATTATCACCTCTAGTGGCTTTCGAGGATTCACGATTCATCTCATCTCGTAATCATTGGAACCGACGCTGCGGCATCGAATCCCAGAACTCCAAGCCACGGCGCAATCATAGTGGTGTTGGTGTGATGTACGCATATACTCGCCTCCTTCGTCTAGCAAATACAAGGCGCTGACATGCTGGGCTCACGTGGCTGACAGCTCGGTGTATTGACTCTCTGTCATTCAGCCTCGTGACATTCAGGATCCGCAACTCCTAGACCGTCATGAACCCCACGGCCGCGGCAAGCATACACCTCTCACACAGAATAAGGCTTGCTTCTCTCTCGTGATTCTTGCTCTGACTCATGTGCTTCCAGCCCCGCTTGACAAAGCGCAAGCTGGCCTTGCAAAGAAATGCAGCCCGAGCTATGGTGACTCATGCCATGTAGTTAAAGAGCTGCCGATGTTTGCTATCGGGTTACGCAAGGATTCATCGATGGATGGTGTAGATCCAACAAGCTGATATTCTGGCTGTTCGAGGACCACAACTGAGTGGCAAATTTGAACCAACAGCATCGTTGGTCAAACGGTTACGATACTTGTCTTCCAAACAAGTGGCCCGGGTTCGACTCCCGGACGATGCAATTAACTTTTGCGGTGATCCTGTTTCAGCTTGATTTTTTTTGTGTAACTCACCATGGCTGGTGAGGGTCTGGATGCCGCGCGCACTCGTCTCGTTGAGCTTGAAGTCATTGCTAGTTTATTTTGAGCATGTGACGTGCGTGTACTGTACTGTACTCCGTACGTCGGCGGGGATGCGTGCAGGATCGCCTCTTCCTTGACATATAACCCCGCCCTGCCAACGTCAGATATGGATTGTTGTAATACTCGTAGTTTACTTTAGTAGTTACCCATGTGCTGAGTCAGTTGACCAAATGATTGGGCGAGACTCTATAGGCTAACTCTTCCACTACTATCCGATTCACGAGTGTGTCTGTACTACCGTACCTGAAAGCAGGGAAGCCAGCCACTTGCACAAAGGCGGTGATGATATAATGAACAGGAGACAGGAAGAAGGGAGTCTATCAAATGAATCAAGGCAGTCCGAACAGTGAATGGATGGACCTTTCCACCCTTCATGCGTACCTCTCACACTAGCGTCTCTTTGTTCTCACGACTCGATGCTTTTGGTTGAGCTTCAAATCAGAACTGTTCCATTCTCCACTCTCCCGACACAATCTACCCGCCTCTTCTTCTGATGGCTGTGATCATGACTTGATAACAAAACAAGAGATCAACTGAAACATTCAAAACAGAACTCAGAATCGCTCACTAGATTTCTTTCTCCTGGCCCAAAGGCTTACGTCTCCGGCAAGAATGGCACTGACATCGTCCCTGGCGGAGGACGCGACGTCCCAAGGTGTCGGTGCTCGGTACACCCCGAATCATGAGTACAGCCTGGGAACTCGCAGGCAGAAGACCGACCAGCCCACGGTGTCTTACGAGGAATTCGATGTTGAAGCCCATGCACCCGTCAACGCCGAGAACCATGCCTTCCAGGCGGGCGAATTCGTGCCTGACGGATTCTTCAACCGAGTTGGTCCTTTGTGCTTCACCATCCCACCTCCAATGTTTCAATGGTCCTACGAGATGCGCCGGCAAGCCCAGCCTTTGTTGCCATTTCTCTACCTGGGTCCCTGGAGCTGCCTCGCCGACCGCGGCCGCCTCGTGCAGGAGGGAATTACACTTCTCTTAGCCGTGCGGGACAAGCGACTCGCCATGGCCAGCCTGATCAGCGGCAGGCGGGCAGCGGAAGCTCTGCAGATAGAAGACGGCACCGTTGACTTCGCTGACAACCAAGAACTTATCACGATGCTGCCTCGACTCATCAACCACATCAACGCTCATGTCGCTTCATTCCCCGCCGCTGAGCCGAGCGGCCATGCCCGGAAGAAGGTCCTGCTCTTTTGTGAGACGGGGAATGGTCCATCGGCCGTGGTTGCGATCGCGTACCTGATGGTGATGCTCAACATCAGTCTGCCGCAGGCACTGCAGTATGTCTCCGCGCGCCGCTTCTGTATCGACATCGATGATCCGGCGTCCCAGCTGTTGTTGTCCTTCGAGAGCATCCTCGATGCCAAGCGGGATGTCGAGGAAGCTAGACGAGCGAGCGAGGCAAAGAATACTCCGGTCAGGGGTGCGTGTAGAAAACGGGATGCCGCTGAATTCGATATGGTTGAAGAGGATGGTTACGCTATGGGGTTGGAAGCGGGGGAGGCGGCGGATGGGAACAGACGACCCCTGGCTCCCTTCGAGGATCGGTCAGGATGACATACATGGATGTATGTGTTTCGCGGGCACAAGATAAGATATCAGTAGATGATGTCAAAAGATGTCATGGCTGAATGAGAACGTTTTCCCGAAATCTCGCTAGTATTTGTGTGTGTGTGTGATAATTTCTGTATGAGGACAATCTTGCAGCTTGCCTCTCTGTTACATGACCTAAGCAACACCTATAAAGGAAATAATGATGTCTATGTGGCTTGATGGCTGGAGTTGCTTAACTCCTGCTCAGCAGATACATGGTAATTGAACTGGGTGAGAGTTCGAATGATGTTCGCTGCTGCTGGTGATGGTGAGTGGCAGCCTCACTTCACTATCTCATGTTTTCCTCTTTCTAAAAAGGGAAGTCTCGTTCATTCGGCCACTGCACCGATCACCTCACTCTCATTCACCAGCCCTCCACATGCCTTGGGACTCTCCTCGCTTTTGTATTCCTTGTCTGGTATTCGACTCCGATACACCTCTTCGTTTTCATCATCTTTCTATTTCTCTTTATTACTTTCACCCTCATGTCTTCTTCACCTGACGCGGCAGGCTCATGATGAGACTCCGCGAGACCATCCGTCTGCCCAATCGGCTCAACGAAGAGGCGCACACTTACACAACCCCAAGAAGAGCGCCACGTCGAGTCATCAGCTCATATCAGTCCAGGGCCGATACCTTCAATCCCAACCTCCCCCCTGCGGCTTTCCCCACCTTGGATCGACCGCGCCACCCGCAGCTTCGCACCGATGACCCGACTCACGAGGGCAAAGACAATGGCAGTCGCAAGCGCTCGTACGACTGCATGATCAATAATGCTGATATCGATGGCCCGGTCTTAGAGACGGCTGCGGAGCCCAGAGCCGAATGCGAAGAGATACCCGTCGAGCAGATTGTTAACATGATTGCGAGTAATGGCGAGCTCAATCAGATCTACGTCAACAACATGGCCATCATGGCTCGAGCAGAATCGGAGAGCGCGACGTTCGAGAAGAGTATGGAAGACAGTGACACGGACGAGGAAGAGGATGAAGAGCTTGTTGTTGAGCCACTTACGGTAAGGTTCCTATGTATATTCAGGGAAGGGCCGGGTTCAGAAAGCGAAGGACTAACGCGACGTGTTGATCTGACGCTGCAGGCTTCCCAATGGCGCGATCTGTCGCCACAAATGCAGGTTGAGGTCTTCGAGAATGTGGAGGAAAGCCATAGTCGACCCGCCAGGATCTTGCTTGGGATCTCAGAAGAGGACATGAAGGAGCTAGAGCACAATCGAGGACTTCGCACGAAGCAGCTGGAGAGGGAAGACCGGCTACTGGAGGCAATGCGTGCGAAGCAGCTCAGAGCGATCCTTCGGACCAACAATGTCACCCCGCGAGCCACTCAGGTGCAGCCGAAAGTGGCATGCCAGATGATTCTGCGCCAGTATCTTCGCAAGATCAAGCGGGCTATCGCACCGGATTTCCTGGTCTGTCCGGCCGATGAGGTACTCCGCGCTCGGAGGTTCTTACTGAAACGTGAGATGGATGGGGAGCTTGCAGGCGATTGGAGGGGTTACACGACCAGATTGCAGATCTCGGTTGATGACTTGCGTCGTGGGTTGGCAAAGAGCACTGTCCCCGAGCCTCATCCTTCTGATGCTTCTGCCATGAGCTCCGCGGGTGGTGATGCAGTCGATAACACAGCGTTGCGAGTGACCGATAGAAACTCAGCTCAGGTATCCTTGATCAACGGCATTGGTACAAAGTGTCCATCTATGCTGAAGGATATCTTGTTATGCCAAGGTCAAGTCAAAGATCCTCCTCGATGGCTACTTCTCAGTCATCGGGATACAAGCAAGAACTATCACCATCCCAATTGGGACAATCATATTCATACTCAGCTTATCAGCGAGGAAAGTTTGGCCCAGAGAAGACATCCCGAGTTGCAGTACATACAACCGAAGAATACCTTCAAGGAGTTCCCTCCGCTGAGTTTGGTCTTCTTCGAGCGTTGTGATCCAATACTGGCCACACGAAAAGGCGACACTGCTACAACGTCCGGCATGAACGACCGCCACCAGAGATATCCTGACGCCTCGGCTGGAACATCCCAGAGAGCAGCTTGGGGGTCCATGTCAATTGGTTCGGGCCACTCCGGTGGGATGAAACGTATGGCAGTCTCCATGCGTATCAGAAACCACCTCAACGGAATGGTGATAGAAGCACACAAAAGAATGTCAGAAGGAGCAGCCGGAGAAGCCCAGCAAGAGGAGCCATCCAAATGCCGCACATTGTTACCTGAAGATATATGGACCCCTCCTACAAGCCCTTCTCAAGTGCTTCGCACGACAGATTTTCTGTCGCTACAAGATGACGACAATTATGCCTTCGCTGAAAGCGCGGAATTTCCGGGAATCGAGGACACACAGGCGGAGTCGCCTGATGGCGTGATGGATGATATGCTCAGTCAAGATACAGAGGCGTCATCACATACCACATGCGAGTCAGACCCCGTGTTAAAGATCAAAGAGCAATCGAGCAGCGCCAAGCCGGACGTTAGTACAAGGTCTGAAAGCGAATCCGTCGGAAGTGATGCAGATGAATATGATACTGCGGACGAAATGGTCCTTGTACAGGTACCAATCTAATCGTGGTTTGCAGATGGAATGGAACCACGGCGAGGTGACTGCGGCAGTTAAAGGACAGCTCCATCTGGTCCTATCACTCGATGTTCTGTCCCAAGGAGGAGGAAGCGAACTGTAAGAATAAGATGTCTGTGGTCTATGTACAGTACAGTACAGATGTAGTTGAAATCTAGATGACAATATCACATGATAATCTCGATAATGATTGATCATCATGCTTGCCAAACTAATCCACATGCGTGTGTATAGCTCAACTGGGCAGCTCGAAATCAGATCATGGATAGTATACTTCCCTATCATCTCAGCAGTCGTACGGTTAAGCAACCGAACTCGAAATTGCCCTGCAGGAAACGGGAAGCTTAGCCTCTCTTTCTTTGCATGTGACTTTGGCGGCATGGAAGGCAAGAAGCCTCAGGCAAAGAAGAAAATCAATCAAAAGATGGTCCGTGCGCCCGCAACGCGCCTTTCCGCGTCTCCTCCGTAGGTAAGCCTTCCGCCCACCCATTCCGAGTCGTCACCACCACGATTGGCGTCTGCAGCATCGCTGTTTCAGTTTTGTTTCTCTCGAGTTGATTGCAATTGTCAAGTCCTTGCAGGGATACTGTCTTGCGCATACCACCACCTTAATTCGATCCGACAGA